TTTAGTCATGCAATTCTATTGGATAAGCATTTTTAAGGTATTGAAAAGATGTGTAATAAAACCCCATTTTATTACTGTGATTTTTAATGTGATTTTTGTGCACGATTACAAGACTCTCTCTATACTTCGTATATACGAGAAAGTAAAAAAAGGAGATAGCCATGGATGGGGGGCACATCTTAAGAATGAAACCTGGAGACATTGCAGGATTGACGCTACACTGGATCGAGATTAAAGAAGTAGAATCTACCTTTAGTCTGTATGATCTGCAAAATGCGACCATTTGTTTCTTTCAAGCTACACGAAAAAGAAAAACGTCATTGATTCTAGAGTAAATAAATCTAATGCCACAAAAATAATGGCCGTAATCAATACTTGATAATAAAGACACTAACATTCCCGCCTAATTTATATGTTTAATCTTAAAAGTAGTATGCAATGTAGAGTTTCTTTCAGACATCTCATTGGGTAATTGGGCAGAGTCTGAAAGAAACACTATATATTAGATTAGTCGCCAAAAGTAGGAAAAGGGTCTAGATAATAGAAGTAGGGTCCTACATTTAGTGTGTATTATCTACAAAATGCGACCAGTGTTTCTTTCAGACATTTTTCTCCCCGGTGGGGGGGGGGGGGGGGGGGGGAAGGGGTCACTTGAAATTTTCGGGGGTGGGGGATTGGACTAAATTTTCCGGGAGAGAGAGGGGCGGACATTAGTAAAAGTTGTTAAAAACTTATTTTTATACATTCTATTTCGTTGGGGGGGGGGGTTGTCGCTTAGCGCGCCGTTGTGTTTCTCCCTCAACGGGCCCTTTATCTAGTATATACTTGTCTATATATAATAATAATAATTCACCATTGTTGGAACCATTTAAATAATTATAAAATAGAAATAAAAGCGTGGTTATAATATACATTGAATACCCTTACAAAAAGGTGTATGAGCCACTAACGCTTTTTCTTATAGAAATATTAGTTAATATAAATAGTGGTTCATAAATATATTTTTTAAAGAAAGTCATTTATAAAAACATTTCAACATTTCAATACACAACTATAGCGACCCAACGCTTTTGCTAAAGCAACGACGTTTCTTTTTCTTTTTTTTTTTTTACCACCAGTGCATTTAAAAGCTTGTAATCATACATGTGTTATTGTAACATTCAAGCCTATATCCTACAATCTATATATATAATTCTCTTCTGGGAGCGTTAGAAAACAAGCTGCAAGCGCGCCTTACAGTCCCCTCTCTTCCTCTCTATCGCTACCACCCCCCACCCCCTCACATGGTCTGGTGAGCTGTGGTTCACGCTGTTTACATTTTACAAACATAGAGACGGGTTTGGTGACGGCTATTAGGGGCAGATAATTTAGTTTGAAACGATTTTTAAACTTAGAGGAGGTAACTAAGAGGAGGCTGCTTTCACGTGGGGGGGGGGGGGGGGGAAGGGGGGGTTTAGTGTTTTTTAAGCAAATAATTTTTAGTGGCAGCATTGGTACTGTCGAATTCACAAATTATAAATTACTGAAAAGTAGAAAAAAAAAACTAAATAGCGGCATATGATACGCAGCGGGTCGGCTCGTACTAAATAATATTCAAAATAGGCCCACGCTTTATAAAATGTATGTTTATGCAATCAAACTTTATGTTTGGCTAAATTACATAATTAAATCTGGCAACAATCGGGTTTTATTTTTTTTTCCAATTTGTTTAGATCGCCTAGTATCGGGACCAACGATACTGATGTCTCAAACTGAACTCTCATTATAAATTTGACAATAACCCTAGAACCTACGAAATTCTTCATCTTTTACTTAACCCTATCCCACTCCATAAAAATCACTTTAATGCTTAAGGATTAAGTCATTTATATACACGATACCATAAGCACAAATAATTTGTCACGGCGAATCGATATAAACTCGTGGTTTGACGAGTCGATTATTGCTCTATTTATTGCATCTTGCGACAGTACTTAAAATGAGTTATCCCAGAAATAAAGACAATTTTTTCTGTTATTGCGGGCCGTGATGGTTCTAGATCATTTCGAGGTAGATTTACTTGTCTTGTTTTGTATTTGACAATTTTGAAAATGTAGACCTAAAACTACACGAGTTCTGGTTGATTTATCTAAAAATCGTTCATTATTTTAGTAGGCCTACACCCAATTCTCGATAAGTCTCGCTAGACCAATGACATGATTGATTCATTGATTACTGATTACCCATGTTTGCTGTATGAAGCTCACCCCCCCCCCCCCCCCCCATCATCAGTCATACCATTAGGCTTAATAAATTTTTTTTGGAGATTGTGGACCTAAAATATAGCAAATATTCATATTGTTAAAATTTTTTAATATAGTTTAAATTTATATATAAATTATGGTGGAATTTCCGCCTAGCATCGGCCATTTTTAAACGAATTTTTGTTTTAGTTTTTGATAATTTACTTTTGTCAAAACTTAGGAAAAATCCAAATTTGGAATATTGAATGTGCTCTGCTCGTGTGTCAGTTAATATTTATATTTTTATGGCAATGTGTAAGTACGAAACTCATAAATGCAAGGCGGTTAAGTTTATATTGTCACAAGTATCTCTCATGCATGATAATATAATCTTTTATGAACTCACAATGACCCCCAAAACTGAGGCCACCGCAATTTCATTTTTTAAAGTGTTGTTTAAATTGTTTATTCAATGTAGGTGATCACGATGACAGATGGGGCAACAGTTATTCAAATAAATCAAGGGGTCAACGGGGACAAAGGAATGGTCGACGTGGTAGCTTCAGAAATTTTAATCCTGGCTCTTCTAGGTATAGGAACAGACCAGATAACTCAAATGTTGATGAAGATGGAGATGTGGCCATGGGCGGAGACACTAGTGGTGGCAGCAGAACACAGAGATAGTAAGTTCCTTTAAGGACTCAGTTAAAAAGATATTTTTGGTTCATTCTCTCACTTATAACAGGAACTACACTAAAGATTATATTTTAATTCTGATCATGGCAACTAAATTAAATCAAATGTGCACTCTTGGAGATACATGCAGTTTTGGAGCACTCTGATTGGCATCAACAAAATTAAAATCTTAAAAATTGAAATAAAATTTCTTATGCTGTCAGATGGGCCTGCGCAACAGCTGGATTTTAACTACAAATATTGTTTTTTTAAATATTGAATGTGTCTTTGTCATTTTTAAAATAGCAATCCATATGGTGGCCATAGATCAAGGGGAAGCAATCAGGGCAGAGGAGGAAGAAACAGAGGAGGAAGACAGAATCAAGTGCAGAAAAGTGATAAATGGTTTAGAATAATGGTTCCCTTTGGAGCATCTATGACTAAAGAAGAATTGTTCAGCTTGATCAATTCTGAAATAAAAGGTCCATTTGAACCAATCAAGGTAATGTACTGCACAAACCCTGTTTCAAGTAGTACAAACTGAGACCACATAATTTTTGGATCCCATTATGTTTCTTTTGATGCTTGCAGTGATTGCCTTATATAATATTTATGCCAGCTGAAGACTACAGTAAAGATAAAAAACAAATTGATTATATAGAGTCCTTGCATATGACTTCATGGATTGATCAGCATGTAAACATCCGCCATTGCTGTGTACAGGTCCACATTCAAAATGAATAACAGTGCTGTGAAAGGTTGTGATACTCAAAGTGGCAGATCTAAAGGAACTCCTTTATTTTTAGACTGCCAAGGATTATGTTAAACCAAGGTGATAGAGATTGGCAGTCAACAGAACGTAAACTGTCAATTTTTAGCCGATATTTATGGTTTCAGGATTTACCTTCACAAGTATTTATAGCAATAGTCAAAAGTAATAATAAAATTTAATTGGAATATTTATTTAATATTTAGATCTAGAATCTAGCTCTAAATCTAATCATGTTGTATACGAAATTAGATCTAGATTTAGAGTGACTTTCTCCGTTAGGTAGACATAGAATCTAAAATCTACTTATTTAATTAAATTTAATTACAAAATTAATTAAATTTAATTACAAGATTTAGAATCTAGCTCTAGATTCTAATCATTTTATTTAGCAAACGAAGTGATCTGAAATTGAAATAGATTGTATGATTAGACTTAAATCTAGAATCTGCTTCTTAAATTAAATTTTAAAAGTAGTTGGTATTTTTGTTGTAGAAGGCTTTAATAAATTACTTAGGCCTACCTACTATGTGTCTAATTACAATAATATGTATCTGATATTAGATTTTAGATTGAGTTTAGTTAAATTTAGAAACAGATCATCACTACACTATTTCCCCTTTGTTTCACTGCTGGGTCCTGAGGGTAATAATTTACATAAGAGATGCTATTTCTAGTTGGCTGAGATCTAACAGCAGCAATCCATGTTACCTACAAAGAAATGATGGGTTAGAGACACGCCCAGCGCTTCGCAATGGCTTATTGTTTACTGGTGGTGCTCACCACTGTGGCGGCAAACGTAGGTGTCACCTGATTTAGGTCATGTATTTGCAAGGACTCTATTGTTCATAATTGCCCCTGAAAGAAATTTTTAAGAAATATATGCAAACTCTATTGTTACTCTTATGAAAATATTTTATTACAATTGTGATAAACCGGTTGGGTTTTCTGACAAGTCATAATGGTCCCTTGACTAGAACCTTAATGTCAATCTGGTATTTTAATATGCTTGGCAGGCCCTTTAATAAATAATTATGGCTAGTATATTGATATATCTGCCTGATCTCTAATGTTAGACTTGATGGACTAGCATTTGTACGTTGATATGCTAGGCTTCTAACTTGATGTCTAAGTGCTATTCTCATTAGCTAGGTTGGCCCTTTGATAAAATAGGCTGGTACTTAAGTATGATTGTACATTGACATGCATGGTTTCAGGATTTCCATACAATCTTTGTGAAAAATGTTCAATCCATATTGAATCTTTCTTTCAGTATTCTACGGATGAAAAGAGGTCATATTTTTATCTTAAAGGCGTAGACATGGCTGAAAGTTTGAAACTTATTAGTCGACGAATTACAAAGCCAGATGGTCATAAATTAATTTTCCATGTGTCCCCATCACCTCCTCCTGCTGAATCAACTATTGATGAGGCAATTGTTGAAAAACTAAAGGTAACTTTCAAGTCTTAAAGATTCATACTTTATTTTTATGATGAATAATTTGGTGTCTAACATTTTCTCATGGTTTATTGGCAAGCATAGAGTGACCTCAGCAGATGAAAATTGAACAATCACCCTTTACTTGCAACTGAATTATCTACCTTTCTGCCTAATAACATGCATCAATGTTTTAAGTGGAGTATCTTATTACCTTTTTCTTTTTCAGTTCCGGATGAGCGAACGTTATGATCCGTCCTCTCAGGTGTTAAACTTGAGTGACTTTTCTAATGATGACTCACTCAGCAAAGAAAGCATTTTCCTGCCCCTGAATCGAGTCTCCACAATGTCTGCAGTCACTAAAATTATAGGGGAACACATACCAGAGGTAACTACATCTCATACTTTCATTCATGATTTGTTAGGAAGTGGTCAAACTTTAAATACTTGCTGTTACATACTTCTCTAATAAGTTGACTGTCAAGGTTCAGGTATTTAGTGACATGTATGTATTTGTGTTTCTCCATTCAATTCCCTTATATTGGAGAATTTATAAAGTTTGTATTATGTACAATACTCATGATGTCTCTTTTAATGTACTAAACATGGAGAGCAGTTTTGCACATTACACCTAGTCATGAGCTTGTATATAAAACAAATTAAATGAGGTGCTTGCTACCCTAGAAATGTAAGCTAAATGTGAGATAACAAAATATCCTGCCTGTAAATTAAAAAACTTTGTAACCCAATGTTCCACTGTCGGTGGAATTAAAAAACTTTGTTACCCAGTGTTCCACTGTCGGTGAAAGTCGGTGAAATTAAAAAACTTTGTAACCCAGTGTTCCACTGTCGGTGAAAGTCGGTGAAATTAAAAAACTTTGTAACCCAGTGTTCCACTGTCGGTGAAATTAAAAAACTTTGTAACCCAATGTTCCACTGTTGGTGAAATTAAAAAAACTTTGTAACCCAATGTTCCACTGTTGGTGAAATTTAAAAAAACTTTGTAACCCAATGTTCCACTGTTGGTGAAATTTAAAAAAACTTTGTAACCCAATGTTCCACTGTTGGTGAAATTAAAAAAAACTTTGTAACCCTATGTTCCACTGTTGGTGAAATTAAAAAAACTGTTCCTCTGTTGGTAAAATTAAAAAACAATACCACTTTTTGGAAGAGGCCGTAAAATAAAATATCACTTTTCTCCCTCAGTTAAGTGGACTTGACGTCAGCAATAACAAACTGCTGTCATTGAGTCACATGGCAGACCTAGTCAAGGCTGCTCCTAATGTGGAATTGTTGAATCTTGGACACAACCAACTGCGATCTATTGATGAACTTGAAAAGCTCAAAGGCTGGGTCAATATAGTTGAGCTTACTTTGAATGGCAATGATTTTTGTAGCAGTTATTCTAATCCTGGACTGTACATCAGGTAAAGGGAGGGTAGTCATGTCAGGGTTGAACATCTGATACTTAAAGTAGAAGTTAAAGGTAACCTGGTCTTCCAGGCAAGTATTTGTCCTGAATAAACCTGCAGGAATTTATCTGTTTATTTCAAGACCTTTACACACATTGGTTAGCATTATTATAGCATTTTTCTGGGATCATTTGTGTAGAACTTTAGCTTGAAAAGAGTTTAAGAATTTTAAACTTGTCTAATACTCAACTAAATCTTGAGAGGACTACCAGCAATAGATCTTAAGTCTATCTCATCCAATATTTATCAGCATCTGAAATGCTGATGAATGTATTGAATCAACACTGTCCATGTGGCATGAATCACTGTCTTAAGCTGGGTACCAGGATTGTAGTGGTTATACTTGTGTTTTCTTTTCAGAGAGCTGTTGCAATAAGGAAGTTTGATCTGCATGTTATGAATGTATCTGAAAGATGTGTTGTCATTGATTTATTGTTGTAGATTATCCCTTCTTGCTGATCATCTGTTCTTATGTCATTCATAAAAGGTGGAAAAAGATCAAGGCAGTATTTTGTTGGCTATATTTGAGGTATTTCAGATTCTCTCTGCCACTTATGATGCACGCAATTAGACTACGAGCCTTGTTATTTGGCACTGACAGATGACAGTAATATGACATGCACATGCAGGTGTATTTTGTCATATCTCTATATCTTGTACATCAACACAATCTGTCAACAACTTGTTCAGATGATGAGAGTAACAAAAACAGCACAATATATGCAATATCCAAATGACTTTGACTGTCTAGTGAAGGTGGTTTGAGAGAAGTTGTGCTGACACCATGTGTTGTCCACACAATATAACAACACCCAAATCTGATGCTTTGAGAGAAGTTGTGTGGTGGAGAACAGAGAGAGAGAGTACCTCAGATATACATCTGCTGCTGGGGACCACTGCTACACAGCTAAGTGCTGATCCTTACATACACTAATCTGACATAAACACTAAGTGCTGACCCTTACATACACTAATCTGACATAAACACTAAGTGCTGATCCTTACACAAACCTCTCCTTTAACTAAATCAATTAGGGTCTGTTTGATGTTACATGTTTGTGAATAGTAATTTAATGTTGTAATATACATGCTTTCTTTTTTGTTCCTTTTAAAATGGTTGGGGGGGGGGGGGACGGGGACAGAGTGAAGGCTTGTGTGTTTTTCTAAATTGGCCAGCCAAGGTCCAGTGATTACATGTTATATGAACTAAGAGAATTGTTTTTGTAGTCAAGGCTTGAGACTGGCTTAAATCTATTTCAAATAGTTTCATCAAGATTTTGAAAAAATACATTTACACATTTTTTTTTATGCCTTACACTTACATAACAAAAAATTGTGTGTAAGAGTCTGAATTGTAAAGCAGACATAAATGAACCCACAGTAATAAAATTCTTACAGAGTTGAAGCTAATTAGTTGTTAGATTCATCAACAGAGGATAAACAATCCTGCTCATGAGTAACTGTAAGGTATTTCTAATCATGTAACAATGATGTTGTTGAAATAGAAACCACATTTTAACTATTTGAAATTTTTCTATTTTGTTAAATGCCAGAGCTGTGCGCAAAACTTTCCCAAAGGTGGTCAAACTGGTAAGTCTTTAATGTTGGTCTTGTCTTGTGACCTGAGATTTCTAGCTACATCTTCGCATAACATTTTATATATCGTGATCATTTTGTTTTATATTTGAAACTGAAAAGGTGGGATTTAATTTATTTCTTGTAGGATGGAACAGTGTACCCGCCACCCATTACATTTGACCTAGACACAAACCTGTCTTTACCAGTATCCAAGGTATGTAACAAGTCTTTAGTTGAGTGACACTAGTTGTCAGCCATGTTGGTGTACATACTGAAAACACTGGTTCGTTTCAACAGGGCAGCTACTTGTTGAATGATGAGGTGCAGACTCTGGTGGTGACATTCATCAAAGAGTTTTACTCCATCTATGACTCGGACAGAAGAAGAGAGCTCATGCCTGCCTACCATGAAAAGGTGAGCATTTGTACTAGCCATAGGTAACTGGGTATTGCAAATTTAAAACTTGAAAAACTATGGATTGTTTTTTTTTTCTTATTTCAGGCCCAATTTTCTTACTCTGTTGTCAAAAACCCTCTTTTAGAAAGGTCAGTAAAAAATTACAACATTGTATTTGAGATGTGTTTAGATGACTGGGTGAAAGGGAGAGTGTACCATTCTAGTGGTACGGTGTTCTGCACAGGGTTTTTCTGCATTATTCTAGTTTGATTCCCTGTTGTGACTTTGTTTGACAGTGGTGGTTCTGTGTTATAAAACAAAATATGCAAACCAAATGCAATCACTATTTCATGGCTTCAATGTATTTTCAGACAAGTTGGGCTCACTAATTACCTTGATGACAGTCGCAATTTAAAGATAATTGGCCATTATGATGCAGGTAGAGATCATTTAGATGAGAGAGGCTAGACATTATCTAAAATGTAAAAGTATGTTTAGAAGAACTAAAACTATTTCAATACATTTCAGAAAAGCTTTCTAAGAAAATTAAAACAGGCAGTCTCACTGTTATTTCCTGCCTGGAAAATTTACCAAAAACAACACATGATATAAACTCATTTAAAGTGGATGTTTGCAGAGCTATAGTAAGTGATTACAGAATAACTTCCAATTTGTCAAAAATGGTTAGCAAAGTCCATAGTTTTAATAACAATATATCAGTATTAATTGTCTCTTTTTCAACCTTTCTAAAAGTTATTAATTTCTTTCAGCCAACCATGTTGTGTTTTATTCTGCAAGGAGTGTTTAAAGAAAGTAAGTAGCCATGTACTAACTTTTAGAGTTTGTGTAGCAATTGTCAAGTTTTGTTTTGTTTTACATTTATTCAACTTTATAAATTTAATCTTCTTCTTCTTCTTCTTCTTCGTTCTTAATTATTAGTGTTGAAGGGGATCGAGATTTATCTGCCAGTGGGTTTGAACTCGAGACTTTGTTCGAATTTATCAACCATGAGCTTTTTGCCGACTCGACCACGCCTCCAACACAATTAAGCGTTACGTGTCAACTGGTTATGCGCCATTGAGGCCATTGACTCTGATTTCAGCCTGCTTTTCTTTTTGGATTTGCTTCCATAGCCTTTGTCCAATAAATTTAATCAATATTGGTAACAACTGAGTTAATCTGTGCAACATTGATCAAGTTTTGTACATTTTATCTTTTCAGATGAATCACGTTCAGACAAGCCTGTCCTTCGGTCATTTAGTAGGACATTCATTACTGTTCCATCTGGCCCAGGGTAGGCATCTTTGTTCGTGTCTCTCAACACCCAAATGTGTGTAGGCCCACTGTCTCTCAACACACAAATGTGTGTAGGCCCACTGTCTCTCAACACACAAATGTGTGTAGGCCCACTGTCTCTCAACACAAATGTATGCAGGCCCACTGTCTCTCAACACACAAATGTATGTAGGCCCACTGTCTCAACACAAATGTATGTAGGCCCACTGTCTCAACACACAATTGTGTGTAGGCCCACTGTCTCTCAACACACAAATGTATGCAGGCCCACTGTCTCTCAACACACAAATGTATGTAGGCCCACTGTCTCAACACAAATGTATGTAGCCCACTGTCTCTCAACACAAATGTATGTAGGCCCACTGTCTCAACACAAATGTATGTAGCCCACTGTCTCTCAACACACAAATGTATGCAGGCCCACTGTCTCTCAACACACAAATGTATGTAGGCCCACTGTCTCAACACAAATGTATGTAGCCCACTGTCTCTCAACACAAATGTATGTAGGCCCACTGTCTCAACACAAATGTATGTAGCCCACTGTCTCTCAACACAAATGTATGTAGGCCCACTGTCTCAACACAGATGTATGTAGGCCCACTGTCTCAACACACAAATGTATGTAGGCCCACTGTCTCAACACAAATGTATGTAGGCCCACTGTCTCAACACACAAATGTATGTAGGCCCACTGTCTCAACACAAATGTATGTAGCCCACTGTCTCTCAACACACAAATGTATGTAGGCCCACTGTCTCTCAACACACAAATGTATGTAGGCCCACTGTCTCTCAACACACAAATGTGTGTAGGCCCACTGTCTCAACACAAATGTATGTAGGCCCATTGTCTCTCAACACACAAATGTATGTAGGCCCACTGTCTCTCAACACACAAATGTATGTAGGCCCACTAGGTTTTGTTGTGCCTCTGACACTAACACCCTCCAGCAGCTAATGAGCATTCCTTTATTATCAGAATGTTTCAAGAACTAAAGACAGTCTTACTTGATTTTTCAGAATGGTTATTATCAACGACATGCTGTCTATTTCTAATGCAAGTCTTGAGCAGACAAGAGTAAGTACATTTACTAATTTTCAAATTTCAATATAGAAGCTTACTTTTTTTTATCCACATAATTTAATATGCATGGTCTGAAGTGGGGAAAAATACTAACTATATTAATACTGTCTTTATTTTCTTTACCCTTTTTTTTTTAACTAAAGTTAAATAATATTGCGATTTTTACAAAAATGTCCTAATAACTTGGTTTAGTAATTTTATTTTTAAAACTTAACAATTTCAGAATGCCTTTAAAGGAGCAGCTCCAACACCATCTTCAAGTCCTGTTTCCAGCAGCCAGCTGCCTGCTGCTTCTTTATCCACCAGCCAGTTACCTGGTGCACCCATTGTCCAACTACCTACTAGATCCTTGTCTGCAGGCCAGCTGCCATCTCAACCACCAGTTTTTCTCAGCACAGAACAGCAACAAATGGTGGAAAATTTTTGCATTCAATCAAAAATGAATCATCAGTTTTCTCTAATGTGAGTGGGAGAAAACATTTCAGTTATAAATTCTTGAGTTGAAATAAAAATTAACAAGTATGGTAGAATAAGTTTCATTTCTCTTCACCAAGAATTTTTTTTTGCGCCAGCTACTAGTTACAACTTGTTGACTGCACTGCCTAGCGTGTTTATGTGTTTATTTTAATATTTAATACACAAATTTGGTTCAAAATCTTGTTACCAACGAGACTTCCTCTACTATACGATGCTATATTCAAGCTGGATGGGATGTTTTTACTTTAAAAAATTATTCATTTCAGATGTTTACAAGATAATGGCTGGGATTATCAAAGGGCTGCACAAAACTTCAATGATTTACATGCAAGTTATTTTTACTGTTTTGGGCTACACAATGATTTACATGTTAGTTGTTTTTACTGTGTTTATTTATACAAAGAAGCCATTACTGAAGTTTTCTGTTAGCTTAATAATATTAGTGTAATAAAACAGGTAAAAGATGCAAAGTTTGGGAGGAAATCTTATTTTAAATTATTCTTTGCTTTACAGAACCAAGGCAAAATTCCTGCGGAGGCTTTTGTCAAATTAGAGAGTAATATTTGATGGTGAAACTATCATGCTCAGACAAGTGGTGTTGAGAAATGAGCTGGATTCAATATTTTATGGTTACTCTTGCTGTCTTGGTCTATCCAGTTGTTTGCCTGTCCTGCCCTCCATGAAGCTGACATGGAGAGTACTAAGGGAGCTCCTAAATAAGGGGCACTACCAGCTGCTTTGTTTCAGTACGCCTGTACAAAGCTGCTCCAAATGTACATTGGTCAGTCTGGAAGATTGATTTTACTCTATTTTAATGAATGGCTGTCAATGCAAATGAAGTGGGAAATGGGATTTGATTGTATTGTCTATAAATAGTCGCCACAAACCTTTGTCACAGCAATGTTGTTGACAACATACACATGACAGAAATATCTTGACAATATAACACACATGGCAGAAATATCTTGACAACATAACACACATGGCAGAAATATCTTGACAACATACACATTACTCATATAGAAGCAAAACTTTTTAAGTGACAACTAGAAAATGAGAGTAATTACTTTTGGCAAAATTAATAAGACTTAGTCTAAAAATCACCCGACATCTTTATTTTTTCAGTATTACATTTTTTCATGGACATTTGAGCAGTTTCAATCTTTAATCAAATTGTCAATCTCTACCCATTTTTAATGCAAATGAAACTTACCTTGATTGAAATCTGATTCTTACTTATACATTCAGCTTGATCTGTGTGTTCATTTGTTTTTTAATGAAATCTTTTTTTTCATTTCATTTTCTTTTAAAATTTTTCTTAAAATGTAAGAGAAAGTCATTTTTGTACATTTTGGCAAAAATATTGTCCATATTAATATAAGTAAAAATATTTTGTACATAGTTTTTTTTCCAATTTTACATAATTGCAATGTAGAATTAAAAGTATATGCAAATTATTTCAATGCCAAGTTGAATTAAACATATGTATAATAAGTCTGTCTCCAATTGATTTGTGCTGGGTGTTTTTCTTCAACTAAGAATACTTAAAATGTTGGTTACAATACCATTTTGGGGTTTGAAAGCTTAATAGTTTGAATATCCTCAAATAATGACATGTTTATTTACCCATTGTTACGGGTCATTTGGAGGTTAAGAGTTTGGTAATCTCTCATCCACCTAAAGACCCCCAATGTTTCAATACACCAATCACAGACCTATTCCTATGCTGCATTACGCCAAAATGTTTGGTGTGTTTCATTGACTTAATTAGATATATAAATTAAAATTATAAATTGCCTTTTGATATCATTCTGATCAATTTTAGAAAGTTTCCCCCCACAATAAATACGCCAGGCTAACTACTACATTTAGAGATGTCACCCTTCTCCTCCCTCCCATACTCAACTATTCTGTTGGCTTACATAGAACTAAAGGTAACAAATTATTTTTGGCTCCATTTCTGCCCCTGGATGCAGTAAACTGATTAGCAAGCATTGTTGCTAATTAGCTGAAAAACTAAAGTAATAGTCAGTTTTTGCTAGGAACAAAAGACAGAAAAAAAAGTGCAAAGGAAAAAAAATTAGGAAAAATTCACAATAAACATTCACAAATGTGTATTGAAAATCATTTTCATTTAGGCCCTACGTATCGAGCATTGTTAAATTTTGGGTCTTTATAGATATGGGTTGAGTTTTTAAAAAAATATATATATTTGTAAAAGCATAATTGTTTTCAATAATAATCAAACTTTATCTTCACAATAAGTAAGTAGTAGATTTGTACTTACTGAAAAATCCCAAGCCTTTATTTCCCGTGATTTTTTGTGTGTGACTTTTTCCTACAACCTTATGAGCTATGAGTCACCCATAACCTACCCCATTCCCAATACTATTTTTGTTATTGAATCGATTTGAATTTAAGATACATTGATCTATTTTATTCAGAATTTTACATACCACCCCATCAAATTCTAAATAACTACACCACCTAGAATCTAGATATAAATATATATTTTTTAATTGTAAAAAGCCTAAGGTAACCTGTCATCCCAGTCATTCAAGTCCAACACCTTGTAGTGGCTTTTAGTAAGCTTTTAGGAATAGGAATGATGCTGTTAATTAAATATGTCATTGGGGCATATATATATATATATATATATATATATATATATATATATATATAATCGTGCAAAAAAAAAAATCGAGATTTTTTTTTACAAATCTCGACGTTTTACACCTCACTGATTATATTATAATACGGAAAAAAAAAACATAATTTTGCAATCGTGTATGTGTGTGTGTCTGTGTGTAAACACGATAACTTGAGTACCGTTACAGCTAGGTTGATGAAATTTCATATATAAGTATTTTATCAAAATCGTAGATCCGTATCAACTTTTGGGCGATTTCCGATTACCGGTAGTGGTACTTTTTCTACTTTGAATTTTTCAAAAGCCTATAACTTGCGTACTATTTCAGATAGATAAATGACAAATGAAATTTCACATGTAAGTAAAAGATCTAATTCTCTACCTTCTGTCAAATTTTGAGTAATTTCCGTTGACCGGAAGTACTAATTTAGGCTTTAATAGACGACCCCTTAAGCAACATAACTCTAGGCCAGGGGTCGGCAACCTGCGGCTCGCGAGCCGCATGCGGTTCTTTTGATATCAAGATGCGGCTCTCCAGCTCCTTGAACAAATACTAATAATCTTAATAAAAAAAATAAAATATTTGAAATAAAAAAAATGTTAGTGGCTCTTTAAAACCAGGGAAATTTTAAAAATTGTAACTTTTGGCTCTTCCGCTTCAAAAGGTTGCCGACCCCTGCTCTAGGCTCTACACGTATTTAAATTTTAATTTGACTGAGTCTTCTATTTTATTAATTTTATGGCCTTCTATTTTGTTTTGTTATTTCTAGTTACACATTTTTGAACAATTGAAAAACTTGGAAAGTAGATCAAGTTTTTTAACATCACCAACAAACAATAGCAAAATAAAGAAATTTCGTTCAATGGTGATCCCAAAATGACGCTACAAAAATGACTTTAAATAAAGTTTAGGCCTATAATTTGAATATGTAACATTGACTTTAAAAATCGGGTACTTTCCTGGGTCATCTTGATCTAGGCCTAGATTCTAGATCTAGCGGTTTTTTTTGGTAATTTATTAAGGGTAAAACTTACTAAAACTCCACTTGATAAAATTTTAGCGTATTTTATTCCCCACTTCACGTTCACCTCCAGTTGAGCGTATTTTATTATAAACACAACCGAAACACACAAAAACGTTAGAATCACTCGTCCTATTTCTTTATGAATTTTTGGTTTAGTTTTTTACATTAATTTTGTCAAAACTTGAGAAAAATCCAAATCTTGGAATATTGAATATGTATGTAGTTGTACTGTAGTGTGTAGGTCTACACTACTCTACACTCTACACTTAACACTTAACTACACACACTAGAATCTATTTATTTATTTAGGCCTACTAAATAAATATTTAGATCTAGAGATCTAGATTTAACTTATTTTTCTATGATGTATGCTGATAATTAAAGTCAATGTGAACTCATAGTGAACCAACCCTTGACCATGTAGGGATTTTTCTCCCGCAGACGATCACACGCTATTTAATTGGAACTGAAATGCTTATTTATAATATTTTTTACCTTTTCTAATTAATACACATTCATATAAAAATAAGTAGATCTATACCTATTATCTATCATCTAATGATTCTAATCCTAGTGTTTTCCTAACATTTTTGTGTATTTTGGTTGTGTTTATAATAAAATACTCTCAACCGGAGGTGAACGCGAAGCGGCGAATAAAATACGCTAAAATGGAGTTTTACCAATTTAGGTGGTTGAGTAGGTAGTCAGTAGTGTATAGTATTGTCATAGTATTGTGTATCCAATCCATCCGTCACTTGCCTTTCTAGAGTTTGACCTGGTTCTGTTGATGTTTGCTCTATACCAGTTGTTTAAAGAATTACATTTCAATTGAACCACAGGTAGGAAAGTGCCAGTGTTGATGCTGTAATGTGGATATTTGGATACGGTTCTCTCATATGGAAGGTAGATTTTCCTTATGAAAAAAAAGTAACAGGTTATGTAAGAGGTTACAGTCGACGCTTTTGGCAAGGTAGTGAAGACCATCGTGGTATACCAGGAAAGGTAAAGGCACTTTGCTGAACCATTTTCAATACATATTCATTTTAATCCATTGTTTTAATCCATAGCCCAAACTGCCAAATCGTACCCTACTGGGGGGCCGACTGACATGCCTGATTCGATTTAGTGAACAACTATAATACCCTATCTTATTTATACACAGCCTATCGCACTGTTCAAAACAAACACATGCGCATAGCGTTCACAGGAAAGTCCGAGCACCAAATAGCACCATGTGGGGCACGGAGGACGCACCTGATTCGATTTAGTGAATGACTATAGCAAACTATCATATCTATGGCCTATAGCACTCTTTAAAAACTATCATATCTATGGCCTATAGCACTCTTTAAAATGACGGATGAGAAAAATCTCACCTTCCCGGTGCACCTCTCTTTCAAAATAAAATAAAATGATTTTTTTTTTGCAAAAATTCCCTAGAGTATTCTCATCAACTCCCCAAGTTTCATGCCGTTTTGATGAAAGGTGTAGTAGTGCATAAAGGACAAACAAACCCACACACATACTTTCACTATTATATATAGATGAAAAATTCTATAGTAAATTCCTTACATTTTAGATTGATTAGCTGAGTATTGTTGTTATTTTCATTGTCACATTATAAAATATTCCTTTCATATTTCTAGCCAGGGCGTGTTGCTACTCTTATACCATCAGAAAATGTAAATGTGAGTAGTTTTTTTTAATGAACATCCTGTCTCATACCATGGTAGAACCAGTTCTCTAAAGTTTAAATAAATCTTTCATAGAAAGACCTGTTTATAGTTCATATTTTGATATGCTTTATTACATGTGACTTAATAAAACTGAAGAAGGTGCTGATAATATCTGAAATAAAATTGAAAAAAGAGGAAAAGTTTCATGCATATATTTTTGATTAAATAGATACTGGCTTTGGTAATCATAAACAAACACCTCCTTCTCAAGTGTGTAACTAAACATAATTCCCCACATTTCATTCACGTAGTAAACATCAGAAACTTAATAGATCATTCACCAATCACTGTTACTGTTGGTTATTAACTGCAATATAAATTGGTATTAACTGGTTCTTCTTAAGCTATTAATCCACTGGCTAGTGATGCCTAATTTAGCCAGTACCAAAACAAATGCTGTCATTAGAACACAAGTAACACCAATGCAACACATGGTACGCTCAGTAAGCCATTTAGCTGAAAAAGCAAACTTGCTGAATGCTACAGTGAATAGTTTCTAAGCTCAAGCCTTGATCTAAAGCAGGGGTCTCCAAACTTTTCAGTCCGAGGGCCGCATTGACTATCAAATTTCAGTTCGGGGGCCAGTTTCTTCCAGGCATGTCTTTCATTTTTCTGGACAAAGTTCCTCAGCCATCACCAACAAACGGCTTTTCCGTGGACAAAAAGATCTCCGCGGGCCGGATGAGAGGACATCGCGGGCCGCATCCGGCCCGCGGGCCGTAGTTTGGAGACCCCTGATCTAAAGAATCAGTTGGGGAAGAACATGCCAACAACTAACTCTATTAGTGCTGACTGCATCTTCAGGTCCTATGGTCTGACTGTCTAGATACAAGTACTTCTTTAAAATCAATTGGTCCTATGATTTGTGATGTGTGTGTGTCGTGACTTCAAAGGTTCCACAATATAGAAATACCACAGTTATAATGTGTTGTCCTTACTATGTCATGCTATCGTATTTGAACTGTCATCAGTCATGGTTGCTTATTTCTATCGTCCACACTGACAAAATCCAATCGCAAATCATATGTGTTGGGTGTGTGTCTTGACTTCCACCAAACCCCTGAGATTGATTCACCAAACCTTTGGGGTTCGATCAAATTCAGGTTAAGAACCAGTGGTCTAGAAGTACTTCTTTAAAGTCAATTTGTTCTAAGGTGATATGGTCTGACCTTCTAGAAGTACTTATGTCCACCAAAACTTCCCTAGTTGGCTTCACTTGTTGCTTGAGTTGACTGTTAGCCTGTGTGCATACAATATCAAAGCATTGTCTAATAAAACTTCAGGCCTTGTACAGGACACTTGATGCTACAGAGGATTTCAGTTACATTGAAACACTTGAATTATAAAATGTTGAATGGGCAGCTGTTGAATATGGTGTACACTGGGAGTTGGTTTTGAATGATCTACTAGTGAATTACATTAGTTTATGAATTATATTGACAAATTATATTAGTTAGTGAATTATATTTCCTTCAAGCTTCTTTTTATTTTTATTTTAGGAAACAGTGTGGGGTGTGGCTTATAAGATTCCAACCTCTGAAATTTCTTTTGTAAAGAATCACCTTGATAACAGAGAAAAAGGTGGTTACAAGCAGACAGAGGTCACTTTTTATCCACAACAAGAAGAAGAAAAACCCTTCCAGCTTACTTTGTACATCGGCACAGAGGACAATCCTTTTTACCTAGGCCCAGCATCACTTGAGGACATGGCTATGCAAATATTTCATGCCTCAGGTCCAAGTGGCAACAATAAAGACTATATCTTCAACTTAGCTGATGCACTCAGACGAATTGCCCCAGAAGCTGAGGATGAACATCTATTTGAGTTAGAGCAAGAATTGTTGCGCTTAGAGAATGAACAGAGTAGAGATCACACTCTTTCTTGATATTCATTGCTTTTATTAGGAAAGAAAAGAATATTAGAGATATTACTGTTTAATATATTTAATAGAAATATTACTAGAAGTTTTTAATCTGTGAAGTATATTTACACGATGTATTTATTTAAATGAGCACACAAGTAAGCTTCTCAATAGGTTTATGTTGGATCATCAAATGAATTTTTTGAATATAGAATAAAGAAATTTTAATTAATTTAGCTTAGAAAAAATATTTGAATGAAAAAGGAGCAAGCTAAACCATAAATCTCTACACTGGTATTTACATTTTTTTAGAGGATTTTAAAAGCTTGCAGACCAGCTGCATACAGTGGTCCCCATGAATAATTTTCCATTGTTCATAACCTTGAACAAGTTTTCTTATAGTTTCATCAGTTGTAGGTCACAAACATGCTACATTCAAGTTGAATAAGCTAAAATAGTTTGCTACTAGCATGAGTGATGAGACTTGATCAAAGCTATTTTTTTTAAGTATAACATCTTCAGCTACTTCCAATTTTCTCTTAGTCTTTGTGAGTGCTGTGAAAACATAAGTAGGTTGTCACCCCTGAGTCAGTGAAAATGTAGTGCACACCTGCTAATCTCATGGTGATTCATAGAATATTTGACTTGGGTAACTGTCTAATCACAAGTTGTTAAAAAAACTCTTTTAGCATTCCTCTGCTGTCTGTTATGTGCCCTGAACATTTGTAAGATGATATAGTTAATTTTGAGAAATATTTGCTTATTAAAACTGATGATTTTCCTCAATGTGATATTAAATAAAAAAATATTTTTCATTAAAATTGCAACTTTTAATTGCATTTTCCCAGTTCTGCATCTTTAAAAATTGTATTTACTTAATTAGTAGTAGTCACTAATATTTGCCAGAATTATGAAGCATATTTTTTTTACCTATTATAAAATCTACTTGTAGATACAGCTATTATTTATTAGGCTTAGGGTGTCAAAGCATTTCAGGAATGCAACAATTCACAATATGAAAAAAATATGAGGTTGGGTTGACACAGAGGCTTAGCGATGGGGGGGGGGGGGGGGGGGGGTACATATGTCCCCGGGCGCCGACCTTAGGGGGGGGGGGGCCAAAATGGGTTGTAAAAACAAATTAAAATGTCATTTTAGCTGCAATCTTGCAGTTTGGAGGGGGGGGGGGGTGCAAAATCGAAAGTTTGAAGGGGGTGCAAATCGAAAGTAGGAGGGGGGTGGGTGCAAATTGAAAATTTGCTCCAGAGGGGGGGCACCAAATTGAAAGTTTGTCCCCGGGTGCCGGGAAGGGTCGCTACGCCTCTGGGTTGACCAGTGTCCATGCCACCAGACTCCTTCAAATGAAGAGTTTAAAATATTTTTCCTATTCATTGCAAGTTTGATCTTTTGTTACAGGTAACAAAAAAACTTTTTTTGCATTGTCTCATCCTTTATACCCTCCTTTTCTATGGAAAGTTTTTGTTGCAATTTTAATACAACTTTCATCAGTTCCTTTTGGGTTCTCAAAGTAACATGATTTACATGGTATACAGATTGGTGACTAGGGTAAGAAAATTACAAAACTGCTTTACTCAAAAGTTTTTGAAAAGATTTAAAACCCCAAAACTTTTTATAACATTGCATACTTTATGCTACATAGAGGTCAGACAACTGATTTAGTATCCTAAACAGCTTTCAACCCAACAAAAAAAAACCACCTCAGTAGGTCACTGCTGCAGCAGTCCATTCTCTATCCAGCTGTAAGTATTTTTTTGGTTTGTTTCTTGAAGGCATTGAGTGATCAAACATGCCTAGATGCTTTAACTTACCTTGAATTGAAACATTTTAAGATCACATACTGTACCAGAGCCAACTTGTATTTGAAAGTTATGGACTGTTATCAAACTAACTAAACTCATTAATGTGTAACTAGTGTAAGACACTTCCATAAAAATGATCAGCTTCAAGACTAATGTGACAAGTCAAAAAGTTGACAAACTCTGAGGTTTTTTTCAGCCTTAGTTTAATGAAATGTTAAACTAAGGACTGTTTATTTTCTTTGTTAGTAAAAAGTAAGTATATATAAAATTTGTAAAAAAAAACACTGTTGCGCTCACACTAAAAGGTGAAAGAATAAAAAAGGTATCATATTTATTTGTGTACCACCTAAGAAGAGATTTCACTGTGATGACAATTCCACTGTATGAAAAACTGGAATAGTATAACATAACTAAAAGTACTATAACCACACATGGGTAAAATCAGTAATAGGTGCTGCCACTATCATTCAAATAAATCAGAAATTTAAACGTTATCACAAATCTTTTTTCATCCAAAACACAGAATTTGGGTCCATTCTCACTACAGCATGGTTGTAAGAAATATTTCGTTGTGGTGGAGGAGGTGGTGGTGGTGGTGGAGGCACCCCTTCTTTGCACACAGAAGGAGATTTTAATGTATTACGTTGATCTAAGTGGCTCAGTTGTTGATTGTCAATTCTCACATTTCCTTCAGACCCCAAGAGCCTTTGAAGCTTTGGAAAGAGAAAATGTAACCAACAATAAACAAAAAAACCAAACTAATACAGGCAAACTAAGTTAATAAAGAAAAATTCTGACCATGTGTTCTGGTATTCTATGAGCATTAGCACCTAGACTAATGACAGGATTACACCTTGAATAGCCCAGTCTAGAATAGAAAGCTTGCTGGTCTATTGTATTTAGATAAATTACTTTCATCTTCAATCTGCAACAAAGGCATTTGTAAAAAAATGCAACAAACTGAAGTTTGAATATTACATAACACTCAAAAAATGAAAATTAGTTGAAACATTTGCTAAACAACTAAAATTTAATAAAATTTTTTTTGAAGTTTTACTAGAAAATACTGACTGACACAATGTTGTAGTGGTAGCACAGCGAGAACTACAGCTGACAAGGGTTTACAAAACAAGTTGATCATACATTATTGAAAGAAGTCCTTTTGAAATTTTTAAAAAGCACCTTCTCTAAAGTCCATTGTTTAACAGAATACATTCAGGGGGTCTGAGCAGTAAATAATAGAATATACAGAATGCAGTATTATAATAATAATATTAAATAAAATTAGAACTGAAATATACTTATTCCTTGCAAAGTCTTCAGTCAACTGCATGAGAACTCTTCCAAAACCTTTGCCTCTATCAACCTCTCGTATGATCACTAAAACACAAGTAAATGGATCAGTTATAATACTATAGAGTAATGGCAGCTGGAAAATACAACTGACCACACCTTTCTTCATATGTTCATGTCACAGATTTTGTCAAGTCACAAGGTCATTTACATCCATATCAACCATCCAATGTATCATCCAATTACTTTTATAAATAATATATCCTATCTCAGAGGTTTACAAAGATCTAAAAAAGATAGATTATCATATGAAACACAACACCCCCACACACACAAATAATAAAATAAAAATCTATCAAATACTTGACTGTACCAGATTCCACAAGACAGGCTTGTAATATTCCCTGTACAGCAGCAATTCTGCTATATCCAATAACCTCAGCATCTTTATTGTGTTGGCGATTAATGAGCACTAATGAGATGGGCATACTATCACATGACTGATGGAGACTATGCTCTCTGTTCAGATGCAAACATTTGAAGAATTAATAACAGATGATTAAAGTATTTAATCAAAGAAATGATGGAAAGTACACAAGTAAAAGTTGACAGTCTTGAAGAACCACATCAATTTTTAAGTTATTTCTAGAAAATTCTGAGCATCACCAAAGAAACCAAGCCATAGGCCTATTCATAATCAATTGGGAATGGCATGGTGTGGTCTAGAGGTAGAGGGCTAACCTGAAAGTCTCAAGTTTGAATCTGAGTTTAACAAAGGCGGCTTGGCATAGCGCTGACCACACTATCCGTTCATATGCAGAGGTCTCTGAAACAGATGAACTCTACTTCATTTGCCCCATGTGTCTTGGGCAGGAGTGGGAAAAGATGATTCAACTGGGAATAGCCAAGAGTAGCGTATTCCAGCTGACTGCAAGTAATGCAAGCCTTATAGATTTTGGGTACTTTGTCATTGCAAAATATTTTGTATGTTTTCAACAAAATGCCTACTGCTGGCTGCTACTGTCTATCAGTATTACTAATTATTAGGCCTATAATCAATAAGTAAACTTCATTGATATTTAATGTAATTAGTAGGCCTAATAAAATAATAATAGTCATAGCTGTTGTAAGAAGCTGTTTGTCGCAGGGGTTCGGCGGATATTAAGACACCCACCCGACTCATATGATTTGCCATCAGATTTTGTCAGTGCAGACTTAGAGGCTGATGACAGTTCAAATACGACAGTACAACATAATAAGAGTGCCAAAGTGAGATAACACATAGGCATATATTGCTATATCATGGAAAACGTTATGAATTATGTCAATGCCACTACAGGCACGAGTTGATCGCAGATATACCATCTGTGGCGAACATATTTTTTATTTCTATATCATGGCCCAGTTGTCGACTTGGACTGTTGTCATATAATGCCGTGTGTTTTCTTACTTAATATTTTAATCCCTTCATACTATGTCGGGCAAAATGAGAAAGGGGTTTGACGGCTATGTACAATATGGATTCACAGCGTTCTAACTGTGTGATTTGCAATTCTAGTTTAGCACAGGCGAAACTAAGAAGAAACTTCCTCAAGGTGCATGGAGATGGAAACTTCAAGAATACAACACAGGCGAAACTAAGAAGAAACTTCCTCAAGGTGCATGGAGATGGAAACTTCAAGAATACAACACAGGCGAAACTAAGAAGAAACTTCCTCAAGGTGCATGGAGATGGAAACTTCAAGAATACAACACTCACTGAACTCAAGGTGAAGCTGCACATGTCTGAACTGGTGTCTGGAAGGCACACTGATCTGCAGTAGGCCTAAATATTTAATATTACTTTTTTGTTTTTGTGTACAAATCATAGTTTAACAGTTTTTGTTCTTTGAACACAGTGATGTTGATGCAGAGGTCAGTTCACTCACCACCAGAAAAAATATAGAGCCTACCTATGTTTTGAATTTCCTAATAAGTTTAAGAAAGGTGGATTTTGGTACATCCATTAAGTATAAAGGTTAAGAACCACTGAACTAGATCCTAGAACCTGCACTACTCCACTAGTGATTATGTTATAACTTAATATGAATATTACTATGATTAGTACTTAGATCTATTATTTATGTGAAAATGTGCCGATATTAATATTATTTAATTTATATAGTGCATAATATGCTATGCCCTATACCAGGGGTCTCCAAACTACGGCCCGCGGGCCGGATGCGGCCCGCGAGGTCTTCTCATCCGGCCCGCGGAGATCTTTTAGTCTACGGAAAAAACGTTTGTGGGTGATAGCTGAGGAACTTTGCCCAGAAAAATCAAAGACATGCCTGGAAGAAAATGGCCCCCGAACTGAACTTTGATGGTCAATGCGGCCCTTGGGCTGAAAAGTTTGGAGACCCCTGCCCTATACTATAGCTATTATTATTTTCATAATAATATTTTTAAAGTTGGCCTACTATTGACTATATAATTATTATAATTATATATACTATTTAAAATTAAAAAAAAAAAAAACTGACCTTGCTGCTACAGATCTGGGCCAGAAAGAATTTAGTATTTCTGTGCAAGATTCTGTGAACTCTTTGCAATGATGAAGAGGTACAAGTTCCATGGTTTTTATTTATTAAAACACTGTTGCCAGTCTTTTATTTATGTATGCTTGTACTGGTCTAATGAGATTGCTAGAGTTAGAGTAGATTAATTGAATATTAGTATTACAGGTAATTAATAATTATTAATAATAATATTGTTTAATTAGATAATAATTACTAAATTAACTATTAGTAAATGTAAATAAATGTATTGAATTGTGTGTTAATAAGTTTTGTTTTTTAGTTTAGTACAACTAATGTTGTTTATGTGTGTAGTTGGTTTGTTCAGGTTTTGTAAACCTCCTTGTCCCCTTGAAGATGCACACATGAGTGAATTATACAACACCACCTTGCAGAGGCGTAGCGACCCTTCCCGGCGCACGGGGACAAACTTTCAATTTGGCGCCCCCCTCGGGAGCAAATTTTCAATTTGCACCCCCTCCCCCCAAACTTTTGATTTGCACCCACCCCTCCCTCAAACTATTTATAATGCAAAAATGCAGCTAAAATGACATTTTAATTTGATTTTACAACCCATTTTGGCGCCCCCTAAGGTCGGTGCCCGGGGACATATGTACCCCCCTGCCCCCCCATCGCTACGCCTCTGCCACCTTGGTCCCCATACATACAAATATTCAGGAAAAAAAATCTAGTTTATATTACATAATGAATGTTTATTTGTGGAAATTTTAAGAAATCTGTACACATTTTTACACAGAAAATACAATTAAATTTAATTTGAACTTTAGCCTTGTTGACTTGAGTTTTTTATTTTGACATTTTAAATGTAGGACACAGTTGACTGCTCTGTAATAATACTTTATTGTAGTTAGCTGAAAAAGAGATCAAAACTCAATCTCTTGAAATATGTGTCAAAAAGGTCATCAATGGTTCCATATTGCAGCCAAAGTTTGCGTTTTGCCCTCATCCATATAGGCCCTATGTGAATTTCAAGATGGTCTGGGTGCACAACATTTAGTTGGTGTACACGGACAGAACAGAGATAAACTCGGACATTAAATGCTGATAGATTGTCATTTAACCTCCAGCCATTTATAGTTATGTGGGTCTCTGGAGGAGAACATATTTGGAAATAATTGGCAGAAGTGTTCTTTTTTGTCTATACTGTACTTCCACTAAAATGTTGTTTCGTGTTCCTTTCTACACTACCAAAAACCCAGTGTCCTTCTTTCCATGTTCCGCTGTGGTATTGCCAATCGATATTTTTGGTCTCATTAAGTTCTACTTCCACCGGTTTCCATTACCAACTATTCCGCCAAAATTTGTTTGCTCAACATATCAACATGTAAATGCAAATAAAGTCCCTGCAAAATTTTAACCAATCTACTATTGTATTGAAACAATTTTGAGTTATGTTGTATTCTTTCATGGAGATCGCCTGTGGTATATCATTGGCGAAACCATATGCACTGAAAAATGTGTTAAGAGTGGCATGAAATAATGATACACAAAAAAGTTTATCTCAAAATTATTAGAAAGGCCCATTTAATATTTTTAAAATCATGTACAATGGTATTAAAATAAAAAGGTCGATGCTAGCCGGAAAAAGATACGCATGCGCAATGGAGAGAAACTACGACTTGCCATCGTGGCGATGTTTTCGATGGTACTGCGCATGCGTGTGTTTACAACAGCAGAACCCTAACACCAACCCTAACCATAATCGTAGCCCTAGCCATAGGTCACTGCGCATGCGCAGAACTATCTTTTGCCGTCTAAGTCTGGAGGGAGACCTTGGGGAGAAAAATCTTTTTCCGAGTAGTCACTTCAAAATAAAAATGACTATAAAAATCCATTTGATTGTTGAACTCTATACTAGTCTATACTAATCTAATACTATAAACTAAAAAGATTATTTACATTTACTAGAGTTCTCTGGATTTGCAACTTCTATAGTATCCGTATGCGGTAATCTATGGTTTTAGGTACGTAAAATCGCCCGCAACTAGTAATGTGAAAAACAGGTGACTCCTTAAATTTTAATATTTTAATAATTATTTCATGTTTTGAGGAGGATTTATGTTTTGAAAAATACAAAAATGTTTCCCTGTTTCATTTATGTACCTGTTTTTAAACAATTGAATTAAAGCTTATCAGTAATAAATGAAAACTAGCGATGTTTCAAACAGATGCAACATTGCGCTCATTTACTATAGCAGCCATCTTGTTGAAGTTTTTTTATAAAATTATACAATTATAGTGCGAGATTCAGGGGAAGCCACTCTAACTTACAGATGGCCGCTTTTTATATAGCAAATCCTGCTAGCAAACATTGCTGTTTAAAGTTAATTTCTTGCCTATATTGAACTATTATTATAATATATTGATATATTTAGCCATTGATTTAGGTTTATTATTCATTTATTTATATTATATAGTAATAAGTTAAAGTTAAGTAAGTATTACAGTAATTACTACGAGCCGACCCGCGGTGTATCATACGCAGCTATTTAGTTGTTGTTTTTTCTACTTTTCAGTAATTCATAATTTGTGAATTCGACAGTACCATTGTTGCCACTGAAAATATTTGCTTTAAAACACTAACCCCCCCCCCCCCCGTGAAAGCAGCCTCCTCTTAGTTACCTCCTGTAAGTTTAAAATCGTTTCAAACTAAATTATCTGCCTCTGATAGCCGTCAACAAACCCAGCTCTACGATTTGTAAACATTTTGAGATCATGTGTGGGTGGCCCGGTGGGGTGGGGGTGGTAGTAATATTGATAGAGAATTTTAGAGAGGAAGAGAGGGGACTGCAAAGGCGCGCTTGCAGCTTGTTTTCTAACGGCTCCCAGAAGAGAATTATATATATTTATATATAGAAGATTAATAAGTAGGATACATTACTACTACATAGATAATAATATGATAATATTAATATAGATCTAGAATAATATTAATTAAATATATTATATTTTAATATAAATCTAGATCTCTAAAACTAGTATAACATAACACATAACATTTAATAAAAAAAATTGATATTGATAACTTTAATAATATAAGTATTTATTAAGTAAGAGATGTAGAATTTGTAGATCTATCTAAGCTAGTTTTTACCATCGTCTGATTAAATAAAACATAGATTCTAGATCTAGATCTAGATTCTAGCTAGATCTAGGCCTATTAGTTTTGTTTTATTTTCTGAGTGATCATGCTATTGTCAGGCATAGGTAACTCTGTACTCCCTTTACTCCCTTTAGTGTTATAAAATCAGGCTAGACTAAACAATGTTTAGTAAACATAAACGATAACAATGAGTTGGTGAAAACTGCAGAAAGCCCACCGGATAGAAGAGGCTCAGCCGGGATATCTTTATACTTTATATTTTATATTTATGCTAGAAATCATGATTTAAGTCAATTCTAATAATTCTTTCTAGAGTCTAGATCTATATTAAATATTCTTGTATTAAATCTGACTATACTAGATCTAGTAGTAACATAGCCTAGATCTAGATCTAGATCTAAAATCTAGATTAGTTGGTTTCGGTATTTAGTTGAGCCTTTTTTGTTTACTTGCAGACATCCCTGTGGCCACGCTTATTAATTTATTAGCACCTACCGAACTAAATAATTTATCTAGATCTAGATTAGATTTCTAGTTGCTACCGCTTGTTTTTTGTTCAGTTATTCATACATGCATTTCAGACGTCAATATTAAAATGGCAGATTCAGTTATTCAAGAAGGAGACCAAGTAGTTTTTAGGAGAGCTGGCACAACTCGGGTTTTTCAAATTAGAAAAAGCAGGTAGAGTCTAGATCTAGTAATATTAATTATCTAGTGGGCATTTTGATGAAAATTTCAAAATTATATTAGATTAGATCTATATGGACTATGGTAATTTCACGATATAGTGTTGGAAATTATCAGGTAATGAGTAATCTCATGGTATAACATCGGTGGGCCGTATGCGGCTTACGGTAAATAAAACCATGGCGTAGTTAAAATATAGAAGAGGCTCAGCCGGGATATCTTTATGCTAGAAATCATAATTTAAAAGTCGATTAATCTATCATTTTATAAGTTGGTAAAACCTTAGTTTAGCGTCGGTTATTATTCCGGAATCGTATAGCAGTAAAAAAACAGTAAAACAATGCCAAAGTCTGTCACACACTTCCGGAATTCATCGGAAGTACTGTAAACCATACTTTATTTGGCATCATCTTTTATTTTTATACAGAATGTTTAAAATTTGGATAGATTTATTTTTGTAATCATTTTTACATTTTGTAATCATTTTTACTATTTTCGTAATCTAGATTTTTTTACTTGGCCTAGCAGCTAGATATCTAGCTAGATCTAATTAATTAATGGTCGCAAATCCGCTGCAAGCCAAAAACATTAAATTATTACATTTGACTTCATTATTTATATTAATATATGTTTTTATTTTTAGATCTACTAATTTAAATCTACTATTATATTTATCCTTGTTTCATTTTGTCGATTAAACTTAAAAAGTTAAAACATTAATTTACTACAATCGACTTTCAATTTATTTATATTTCAATGGTCAAATAAACCATAGTTTACCGTAACTCTAGTTACCGAAACTCAACAAACATTACCCGATAATTTCCGACGCTAAACTAAGGTTTTACCTATAAGTTATAGTGGAAGATTCAGGGGAAGCCACTCAAATGGCTGCTGTTTATAATTTTATATAGCAAATCTTGCTCGCAAACACTGCTGTTTACTTTAAAGTTAATTTCTGGCCTTTATTGACATTGGTTTTGGTTTATTATTCAGTTATCTATAATATTTGACACAAATATTTCACAATATACTTCTATTAAAGACTTGACAATGAGGTAACTTTTTCCTGCATTACTAGCCACAGCAGATTTTACGTACCTAAAGCGATAGATTACCATGTAGACTGTGTAGGTAGATCAAGGCTTAAACTTTCAAACCATATTTTATTTGGCGCCATATTATTTTTAATATATAATGTTCAAAATGCGCGTCGATTGATTTTTAGTTGCATTTTAAATAGGGCTACTGTTTTGCTAGGCTAATTATTTTGTATTTATAGGCCTAGGCCTAATTAATAATAATTATTAAAATTTATTTAAAGTTAGGCTGTTCGGTTCACAGCTTCCGGGTTTGTTTGTTTATATTATCTCACGGCGCAAGCTCTTGAAGTGATCTACTAAGATGGCAGCACAGTTTTGTTTTCATTAAGGGGTAGAGGGATTAAACCAATGATTTTAAAGCCATAGTCAATTTTAGAAATCGGAATTACCTGTTTCTAATTTTTCTGACTATAGGCCTATACTATAACTATAAGTGTAGTCTTTCTAGTACTAATAATTTAGTTGTCCTAGCTTTTTCTGACTATATAAGTGTATTCTTTCTAGTACGAATAAGTTAGTTGTCCTACTAGTACTACCATTTTAGTTGTCCTACTAGTACTACCATTTTAGTTGTCCTAGCTTTTTCTGACTATATAAGTGTAGTCTTTCTACTATTTCTAGTACGAATAAGTTAATTGTCCTACTAGTACTAATAATTTAGTTGTCCTAGCTTTTTCTGACAATGGAAATGAAATAAAAACAAACAAACAATGATTGAACTTTAAATTTGATATTTACTGTTTTGCCTTTGTCCATGGGGGAAAGGTGGGTTGTCCATAATGGGTGAAAACACTGCAAGTCTTGCAAAATGTCTTAGTTATTGGAATTACAAAACTTAGATGAAGAGTTATCTTTTATTCTAGTTATCACCACCATTCATCCCCTTGACTCTTTCACTACAAGGCCTAATTTACTTTTTATGTATGCCTAATTTACTTTTTATGTATGCCTAATTTACTTTTTATGTAGGCCTAATTTACTTTTTATGTAGGCCTAATTTACTTTTTATGTGGGCCTAATTTACTTTTTATGTAGGCCTAATTTACTTTTTGGTTTTTACACACTTAGTATTTCTTGTCCTGACAGGCAAGTCTATTTTGAAAAAACAAAATTCAGTGCTGACGAGCTGATTGGTCAGTCATATGGAACAACTTATGAAGTAGAAGGAGGCCATCTGATCAAAGTAGAGCCTGCAAGTATAAATGTGGAACTTGGTATGTTGGGAAAGTCTGTAAGTGTTCATGTGGAACTTGGTATGTTGGGGAAAGTCTGTAAATGTTGATGTGGAACTTGTCAGGGTTATGAGTTTTTGATCACTGTTGTGGAAAAGAGTTAAAATAAACGAAGGGCTTTTCGTATATTTATATAATTTTGGGTAGAGCCTGCTAGGGTTAATTTTATGTATGTAGTAACTTTGCATGTTAGTTACTCAGATACTTTGCATTAACCATTAATGTCCCGTAACGCCCGCTGCCGCCCGACACCGTTAATGTCCCGTAACGCCCGCTGCCGCCCGCTTACATAAGCATAGAAAAATTAAATTTGTTTCATTAAAATTTGGCCTACAAATCCTAATTTTTAACTAAACAGGAAGTCGGATGGTTTCAGCATCCTTTTCCGGTCTTGTAATTTCAATGGCGCTTTTGAAAGATAAAAAATAATAGTTTCTTTCTATCTCGAAATTTTCGACTCATCTGTCGTATTTTTAGTAGATTTAATATTAAAAATAAAAAAAATTAATGCCTCTAAACGTATCTAGGCATGTATTTTATGAATTATATATGTTAAACATAACCAAATTGATATTTAACTGTTAAATTCGATGCATAGTTGTTAAGACAAAAATAAATAAAGTTGACTACCGAAAATGACCTGTTTTGAATTTTCTCAGACATTTTTTATTTTTATACTGTACTTTTACCGAATATAATATATTCTATTTAATACTGTTGGAAAGCCAGGTTTATTCCCAACATTAAGCAGTACTTTTTATCTTAATTTTCAATTTCATTTAGACAAAAACAAATATTTTGTGAAACTATTCACTTGATCATACAGAGTTATGCTCCTTACATTGGGCCGTCATGGGTGGAGTTTTGGTAGAATGAATGGGACATTAATGGTTAAACACAATATAAACAATGAGACTTGACTTGAAATGTTTATGTTCAGTTTCAGCTGCAGGTGTAGACAATCGTAACTTAGTGGATACAGAAAAAAATCAAAAGATGTCGACAGAAGATATTAAAAAAATGAAAGAAGATGGAGTTGCGGGTGAGGTATGGTATCATTGGTTTTCTTACACTGTCAGCTAGAGAAATCAGAGATTCTGGTCCCTCAAACAGCACACAGGTTGTATGATCTTGTGTGCTGCTTCAGTTGTATGATCTTGTGTGCTGCTTCAGTTGTATGATCTTGTGTGCTGCTTCAGTTGTATGATCTTGTGTGCTGCTTCAGTTGTATGATCTTGTGTGCTGCTTCAGTTGTATGATCTTGTGTGCTGCTTCAGTTGTATGATCTTGTGTGCTGCTTCAGTTGTATGATCTTGTGTGCTGCTTCAGTTGTATGATCTTGTGTGCTGCTTCAGTTGTATGATCTTGTGTGCTGCTTCAGTTGTATGATCTTGTGTGCTGCTACAGTTGTATGATCTTGTGTGCTGCTTCAGTTGTATGATCTTGTGTGCTGCTTCAGTTGTATGATCTTGTGTGCTGCTTCAGTTGTATGATCTTGTGTGCTGCTTCAGTTGTATGATCTTGTGTGCTGCTACAGTTGTATGATCTTGTGTGCTATGTTGAGAGAACTCATACAAGAAAAGAGCTTTACACATGTGTTGTCTTTGACTAAAAAAAGTGTATTGTTTCTTTCCAGAAAATTATAACAGAATTGATTGAAAATAGTGAGACTTTTAAATCAAAAACAGAATATTCACAAGCCAAGTATGTGAAAAAGAAAAAGCAAAAGTAGGTGTACAACTTTATGATCTTGTGAGCCTCCCCGTTCTGTCTACAACATGTTCATTCAGTCATTTGTATTTATCAGGCACATTCTTAGTTTTACTGTGTCGCGACCAACTCCAAGACTTATCATGGAGATTTATTCCAAAGAACCTATCAAGATTTGGTATGTCTTTCAATGATAGCTCAATTTTAGTGCTTTTAGTTTGACTTGACAGTGCTCTCAATAGTTTATTAAGATGCATTTCACATGTTCTACTTGACTCTCCTATTGTGGTTTCCAGCAACTTGAGGGCTGACACACTGGCCCAGATCCTCAGCTACAGCAATGTGAGATATGGCAGCAACGTGGGGGTTGTGGAGACCTGCCAGGGCCTCATTTTGGCTTGTGTGCTGCAGAGGATGGGAGGTGAGTTGTACAGAGAATGGGAGGTGAGTTGTACAGAGAATGGGAGGTGAGTTGTACAGAGGATGGGAGGTGAGTTGTACAGAGGATGGGAGGTGAGTTGTACAGAGGATGGGAGGTGAGTTGTACAGAGGATGGGAGGTGAGTTGATACAGAGAATGGGAGGTGAGTTGATACAGAGGATGGGAGGTGAGTTGTACAGAGGATGGGAGGTGAGTTGTACAGAGAATGGGAGGTGAGTTGATACAGAGGATGGGAGGTGAGTTGTACAGAGGATGGGAGGTGAGTTGTACAGAGAATGGGAGGTGAGTTGATACAGAGGATGGGAGGTGAGTTGTACAGAGGATGGGAGGTGAGTTGTACAGAGGATGGGAGGTGAGTTGTACAGAGGATGGGAGGTGAGTTGTACAGAGGATGGGAGGTGAGTTGTACAGAGGATGGGAGGTGAGTTGTACAGAGAATGGGAGGTGAGTTGTACAGAGGATGGGAGGTGAGTTGATACAGAGGATGGGAGGTGAGTTGTACAGAGGATGGGAGGTGAGTTGTACAGAGAATGGGAGGTGAGTTGTACAGAGAATGGGAGGTGAGTTGTACAGAGGATTAACTTTTGTTGGTCTAGACTGTGACTGCTATAACTTTTGTCCATCTAGATTGTGACTGCTATAACTTTTGTCCATCTAAATTGTGACTGCTATAACTTTTGTCCATCTAGATTGTGACTGCTATAACTTTTGTCCATCTAAATTGTGACTGCTATAACTTTTGTCCATCTAGATTGTGACTGCTCTAATTTTGCTGTATTTCAGGTCAGGGCAAGATCGTCAATTTGATTCCAAACTCTAATGACAACTTGAGTCGGTATGTAAGCTACACAAGCCATGCTTTTCTGATCTTTACTCACTCATTTATTCAGGGCTTAAAAATTAACTGTTATTTCCCCAGGGGTCATCTATTTAAGATGTCCATATGTAGGGGTCAGTAAAATCAACTTTTGTGGACGCGTGACAGGATGGGGTCAGGTTCCTCAGCATGTTGTATATATTTAACATTTAAGTACTTACATTTTAAAACAAACATGCACATTTTATCTTGCTTGTAAAAAGTAAAATTAAAGTAACAGTATTCATGATGTTTTTAAAAAAATACCCATCTTAACATGTAAATAAAGTGCAGTATTTATACCTACACTGGGATCATCCATATCATTAGCGATATCATGTTTTTACCTCTCCCACCTCTATGTCACACATCATCACAAAATGCCAGGACCCCAACACCTTAAATGACATCAGTCCCCAGACTATCACCCCTCTCAAAACTATTTAAAAAAACAGTGATTTTTGTATTTCTTTCTCAAATATTTACTGATCTCAGTCAACAGTGAGTTAGCTTATTTGTATTCCTTTTTATTGAAATTTACAGTCATTTTGACCAATGTGTAGCAGCTGCTTCAATTTTTGTAGACATCATAAATGGATGACCCCCCAGCTTGCTAGGTTAATATAGATCTAGATTCAAACATTATTTCTTTCTCATACAGGGATGTGATGACATATTTTAACTTCTCGGAATCTGCCTTACAAAACTGCATTAGTTATCCTCTCAACCAACTTTCATCTGTTAAAACGCTCGATGACGATGTCACATGTGTGTCTGCTGGTGATAGTGTGGTGAATTCCAGCCCAGTATCAGATGCTATTCCCCATGATGGTGATAGTGTGGTGAATCCCAGCCCAGTATCAGATGCTATACCTCATGCTGGTGACTTACAATCTACACATTCAGTGATGATCTCAGCTGATTCAACGCAGGATGCAGTTTTACACATAGGACAGAAACGGCAGCTTGTAAGCTATCAACCATTCATTTTTGAGAATATTTGTTTTTAGTTTCATTCAACTAGATATGACAACTGCCTGCATAGTGCTACTGTAAAAAAATGTCTCAACATTTTAAATTTTAAAATATAAAAATATTTTTAAAAAAATAGCAGGGAAAATGCTGTTTCACGTGCTGTCTCCTCCCCACAGGCCCAGCTAGACAGAGCCAAGAAACAGGAGAAAAAACAGCAACAGCTTAAAGCTGCGGGTCTCATTCTCAAACACAGAAAACTTGACAGGTAAATTTGAAAACAGCAGTCATTGAGTCAGTATACGAGCAGATCAATGAAAACAGCAGTCATTGAGTCAGTATACTGGCAGATCTATGAAAACAGCAGTCATTGAGTCAGTATACGAGCAGACCAATGAAAACAGCAGTCTTTGAGTCAGTATACTGGCTGATCATTTTAAACTTACTGAATGATGAGAAGAGAATGAAGCAACTAATCAACTGCCAATGTTGTATGTGTGTAAAGTTGATCATGTTTAGGCAGTGTTGTATGTGTGTATAGTTGATCATGTTTAGCCAATGTTGCATGTATGTAAAGTTGATCATGTTTAGCCAATGTTGTATGTGTGTAAAGTTGATCATGTTTAGCCAATGTTGTATGTGTGTAAAGTTGATCATGTTTAGCCAATGTTGCATGTATGTAAAGTTGATCATGTTTAGCCAATGTTGTATGTGTGTAAAGTTGATCATGTTTAGCCAATGTTGCATGTGTGTAAAGTTGATCATGTTTAGCCAATGTTGTATGTGTGTAAAGTTGATCATGTTTAGCCAATGTTGTATGTGTGTAAAGTTGATCATGTTTAGCCAATGTTGTATGTGTGTAAAGTTGATCATGTTTAGCCAATGTTGCATGTATGTAAAGTTGATCATGTTTAGCCAATGTTGTATGCGTGTAAAGTTGATCATGTTTAGCCAATGTTGCATGTATGTAAAGTTGATCATGTTTACTGTTCCAGCCTGATCATTGCTGCCAGGTACAACCCGACTCCCATCCTACTCAAGTTACTGGACTTTGTGCCCCCCTCTCGGCCTGTGGTGGTTTACTGCCATCTGCTAGAGGTTAGTGACAAACCAAAGCCCACAAAAACTGCACCTAAGCCCATAAAAACTACACCCAAGCCCACAAAACTAACCAAGCCTACAAAAAAAAAATCAACTAACTAGATTGTAACCAAGCCCAAAAAAAAAACTGCCCCCAAGCCCAAAAAAAAAAACAACTAACCAGATTTTTAACCAAGCCCCCAAAATCTGCAACCCAAGCCCACAAAATTGTTTCTTTTTCAGCCTCTTGTTGAATGCTACTCTCAGGTGAAAGCCAAATACACAGGTGCCCAGATCCAGCTGTCAGAGACTTGGTACAGGGAGTATCAGGTAAATATCTGACCACTGGGTGGCCAGCTGACTGAGACTGGTGTATCACTGGCTCACTGGGTGGCCAGCTGACTGAGACTGGTGTATCACTGGGTGGCCAGCTGACTGAGACTGGTGTATCACTGGCTCACTGGGTGGCCAGCTGACTGAGACTGGTGTATCAAGTAGGTAAGTCTCTAAGAACAGAGTTTTGACCAGTTTTCCAAATGTGTTTCAGGTCCTACCCCAGAGAACACATCCAATGATTAACATGAGTGGGACTGGTGGCTACCTGCTGACATTCATCACAACGGATCCAAGCTAGATCTACATTGCTCACTTCCTGTACAATAATAAAACTTATCAAATATATTTGATGTATCTTGATGTAAGAAGTAATGGCCTTAATTATGTTGTTAGTAGCTTACAGATGAAGCCTCCAGTACTGCCTGTCATCACTAGGAATATCAAACTGATTTAAAAAGGTTGCATAAATGCGTAGAATGTTGATGTCAACCCACGAGATCCTAAGATTGTGAGGCCCAAATTTGTTCATATAAAAAAGCTGTTTGAAGAATTAGGTTTTAACTTTTCTTTTTAACACCAAAGTACCAATCTTTTGAACTCAACACAAACACACATACACAGAGAACAAACCCAATTTTTTTTTCAAACCTCAAAAATAATTACATCATTTAAATCAATTGCAATGAAATCAGCTTTTCTCATTAATAACATTAAAAAGATTAGTGAAAAAAAAACAACTTTTATTTACAATTGATAGTGAATAAATCATCAAAAATTTACTTATACAAAAGCTTACTAAATAATTGTATCAAAATGTAGGGGAACAACATTAAGTTACATAACATGTATGCCTATAACATGTAAATTTCATTCAGACACTAGTATAATCAGAAAAGTGAAGTGGGTCACCATTTGACAAATATGCTTCTACTTAAAAAACATACAAAAATTAAATTATGACACCTATGGTAGAGCTGACTGTACAGAAAGTAGTCTATAGCTGAACACCTGATCCAGTAGTGGCTGGAATTATGCATGGAACACACCAAGAAAATATTTGTCCGAATAATTATTAGTTGCAAGAACCAGTATTGTATTTCAAAGTAAAGAAAGTGTAATAACTTTACCTAAATTAGTGTACCTAAATGTTATAAATATATGTATTTTTGCATAGCTGGTTCTACAAAACATAAAGACACTAACAAGAGAACGGACTCAATTTTTATTTCAAACCTCAAAAATTAGTTCATCATTTAAATTAATTGCATTGAAATTTGCTTTTCCTCTCAGTGGTGTCGCTAGCTCGGGTGTCAACCGGTGCGGTAACTCATGGTGTCCCCCCCCCCCCCCACTAAAGGAAAAAGGCATATGATATATATATGATAGATTTAAAGGTTCCACGGTGAATAGTAAACAATGTTATCTATAGTCAATTATTAATATAGCTGGATGTATCACTATTTTCTCTTAAGTTATTGGTTTATATCATGGTATCACACACCCCCACCCCTTATTGGGGTTGTCAATTTGTACTTGAAATACTTTTTAACTCTAATTAATCATTTATTGAACTGACAAAAAGCATATTTCTTCCATATATTTTGCATTTTTTATGACTTGGTGTCACCCCCCTAATTGCTGTCACCCAGTGCGGTCCCCACCCTCTGCCCACACCTCGCGACACCTCTGTTTGAAAAAAAAACAACTACAAATTGCGATCTAATGGTGGCTGGAACAGTGCAAGGGTCCCATGAAGAAAATATTTTTGTCTCTAGAACCAGTAGTGAATTTAAAAGTAAGAACATTTATTTTGAATTCCTCAGCTGGTAACCTAAATGTTACAAATATGTATTTATGTATAGCTGGTTCTACAATCATCACGATATGGTAGGTCTATAACCAAAATACATTTGCACATTTATAAACTGTTCTGTAGGCAAAATTAAATAGACAACGATAGTGTCTTGCCTTTTGTACACATTAACAGTTGTTCTTCACAACTGTTATTTAAGGCGTATAAAATATGTATTTATAAGCTATGTGTAAGCTGTATAAGGTTTTATTGAAGAAAGCAAGTTTTTATTTTCAGTGCATTTAATTAACAGCTTTATTAAATTATATTATTATACATATAGGGAAGTTATGTTAAATATTTATTTTATTTTGTAGGCCTACTAGTCTAAAAGCAGGATACCTTTATGATTATGATCATGTTAAGTTCTTGTACTGGTAGTGGGCCCTGCAGGGATCTGTGGCTTATTAAATTAGGTTATAAATAAAAAGTAAGTAAAGATTCCTCTTTAGACCTAACCATCCATCGGGCAGATGAAGTGGAGTTCATATGTTTTTTGACCTTGGCATATAAAGGGATAATGTAATCAGCACAAAGTCCAGCTGCCTTTACTTTCCCTAGCGTGAGTAAGGTATCCATCAGAGTTGGGTGGACTCTTGGAGTTTCCACTAACTTGAACCCGGATTCGAACTCAAAACTATCGGATTTGGCGCCCCATGGCTATATTGTGAGCACTATGCTTTTAAGTTTGTGTTCATTTTTTAGGTTTGCGTTGTGTTTCTGTTTGTGTTTGTATTTGCTTTTGTAATTTGTTAGTGTATGCATTTGTGTTTGCTTTTGTGTTTGGAATTATGTTTGCGTTCATGTTTGTGTTTTCATTCGCTTCTTGCGTTTGTTTTTGTTTGTGTTTTCGTTTGTGTTTGGTTGGTTGTGATTAGGGTTAATCTGAAAAGAAATATATTTCCTAAACCCGGGCAATGCCAGGTATATGCTGCTTAATAAACACAAGTCGGGGTCCTTTACATATAGGTTTTTCACAGAGGCCAATGCAGGGCTTGGCCGGCTAGTAATACATTAATGCATAATATTACGATAATACATAGGTCCTCATTTAGGCTAGATGTGCCTTCAACTCACTGTGCGCGATGTGGAGGTCCACGGCCCTGTCACTTCGGAGCAAAATTGGGATTTTCAATACAAATGTCAAGGCAGTGCTGCTCTATGGCTCGGAGACTTGGAGGGTTACGAAGACAAATACTGATAGGCTACAGGCATTCGTAAACAAATGCTTACGACATATACTTAACATAAGATGGCCAGACAAAATATCAAACAAAGACCTGTGACAAATTTTAAAGCAACAGCCAATAGAGAAAGATATCAAGGCCCATAAATGGGGATGGATCGGACACACATTAAGAAAAGAAAACATCGCAAAACATGCTTTGGACTGGAATCCCCAGGGAAAAACAAGGGTGGGCCGGCCAAGGAAGACATGGAGAAGAACGGTTAAAGAAGAGGCGAAAACAGCTGGGCTCACATGGGCACAGATTAGGGGAGCAGCCCAAAACCGAGTCCGCTGGAGATGTGTGTTTGCAGCCCTTTGCTCCCCAGGGGCCACTAAGGAATGATGATGACGATGACATAGGTCCTATCCAGAGGTGTAGCGACCGATTCCGGCGCCTGGGGCGGAATATACATTTTTACGCCCCTCCCTCCCATTCTATTTATAGTTATTCCTGTCTTTGAAAAAGTGCCTCCCCCCTCCCAAGTAAATAAATAAATTAATTGGAAAGATTTTCTGTTTCGGTGCCACAATATTGATATAGAAAACAGTTAAATCAATGTGAAAAGACTTGAAGTCGTTTATTTTCGTAACTTTGTATATAATTTAATACTTCAGCTTAAAATGAGTTTTTCAATCAATTTTTCTACCACCTGTTGGCGCCCCCTTAGGGTCGGCGGCCGCTCCAGCCGCCCTCCCCTAGCTACGCCACTGGTCCTATCACACTTGTGTCTTGATCTAGCAAAAATAAAATCCTACTATCTAGACTAGATCTTAATTTCTAGTCTAGATTCTAGATTATATCTAAAATTCTAAATCTACTTCAATTCTATTTCAACATTCATGTTACATTGTACTTCCAATGAACAGAACTTGTGGGTGAAAATTTCGATAAGGAAGCAAGGTTAGCTAATTTGCTGCTAGATTCTAGATCTAGATATAGATCTATCTAGATTTTAATAAGTAGATTCTAGTAAGAAAGCTTGAATATAACTCAATAAGATTGAGTTTTTGAAAGATTGTAAACAAAAAGCGGGAATGATCTCCCCTAAAATTCATAGGTGGAAGTGGCACTTTCACTTAGGCGTATCAGTGAAATTGTGTATAATAGAATGGAAAAATAAAGGACACATTGATTCTTTAAAAAAAAGTCAAGCATCTAGATCTATCTAGATCTTTTCCTCAAAAAAAAAATATCGTTGAGTCCAGCAAGATCTGTATCTAGATCTAGATCTAGATCTTAGATCTAAAATGCTTATCAAACAGGCAGGTTGCAATAATTTTATCTGGCAACACAGCTTACAATGTTGCTATAGTAAACAACATGGCGGATAGAAGTATAGTCAATACTGACGTTTGCAACGTCTGTAAAACTAAAGACAATTTGAAACGTTGCGGTAGATGCAAATCTATTTATTACTGCGGAAGAGAGCACCAAAAACATGACTGGCTCTACCACAAAGCTGTGTGTGTAAATAAAACAGAAACATTTCGTACTAGATCTAGATCTAATACTAATACTAAGAACAAGGATGCTAAACTTTTTGAAGTTATTCAACAAAACACAAACTTAATCAAGCAAGAAAAAACTGCTAATATTTATAATCAAGCAGAAATTGATAGTATTTTAGATTTCAGTTCTGTTGTAGCCAATGGAGAAAATTCAATTTGTTCTGATAATCAGAAAGATATATTTAATGAATTTATGCAGTCTGATAAAACATTTACAGGACCAGCTGATGAAACAGAACACCAAGAAACCAAATTACATAGTTCTACAGATTCACATGATCTGTCTGTGTTACAAACTCTAGAAGCTGATAAGGATTTAGTATTATTTGATACTGGGCCTTTTATCGAACCTACCTTCAACAGGCCAAGCTCTTTTCAGCACAAAGAACTGGCACAATTTATTTGCTCTGAACTTATTGGCTCAGGATATTGCGTGGTTGATGGGCTATTTGATAATGAGCTAATAGATGGTATGCTATCAGAAGCACAGGGGTTAAATTATAAGACTGGGGAGCTTGGTGGTGGTCGTTCTAGTGGAGATGATACAAAAAAAGTTGTCAATACAAACATCAGAAGTGACAAAATTAAATGGATTGAAGGAAATGAAAAAGAACTACCTAATGCTATGAAAGTTTTGAATACCATGGATTCTATAACAAGTTTTTTTAGTTTTCATCTAGAAAACTGTTTTATTCAAGGACGCACAAAGGTACTAGATTGTATCAACTGAAAGTTTCTTTTCCTCTTACAATCACAATGCAATTAAAAAAAAAACTGATTTAGGCCTACATATTGAAAATAGCAAAAAAAAAAAAAAAACAACCATCAGTGGCTATCAATTGTCTGTTCCAGAATAAAACATATTTTTGTTTGTTTTAGGGAATGGTCGCTTGTTATCCGGGCAATGGAGGGTATTACAGACGCCATGTGGATAATCCTAGCATGGATGGAAGAAGAATTACATGTATTCTGTACCTAAATAAAGAATGGAATGTTCTGGTAAATGTCAAGAAATGTAAATAAATTTGTCCTTGACTGAAATGTGAATTTAATGCCTGTACCCACCTTTATTAGATAACCCTTCTAATAAACCTTTTGACCCCAGACTCAGGATTATATACTGGCTGAGCAGTTCAACATGTCCAGTGTTGCCTTATTCAATTCCTTCCATAAAGGGAAAATGCACAAAAAATGACCAAAATTTTTTATGATTTTTTGTCATAATGGGTTGCATGCACTTTTTAATGTGTTTTTATGACCCTATTAATTAAAAATATCCCCCCCCCCCCCCAATCTTACAAGCTCTCTACAAAAATTTCAAAACCGTAATCATATTGTATTTGGCATCATTGGAAAACTGTATTTCCCATGTATTTGATAATTGTATTTTCCATCATCTCGGAAACACCCAAAGCTTACAATCGGCATTACAAATGACACAGATATGTCCACCATATTTTCTGTAATTATTCTTCATGCAAAAGTTTATGGTAAATAATATACAAATTTTGAAACTTTTGCATACTAAAAAGTTAAAATAGGGTACGTATTTCAGACTTTGTAGAATTCTGACCAGTAGTTGTTGTGACCAAGTTTGAAATTATACTGAAATGTAAGCCATTGAAATTTGATTGCTATTAGTGCATAAATAAAATAGCCTTAGCATTTTTAAAAGTACTGAAAACTTCAAAATGGCAGAGGTTTTTCCGGGTTTCCATGACAACCAAAGTTGTTTTCAACCCTTTTTTGCTGTTTAATATTTTCATACGCTAAACATGGTAAAAGTATTCAAAAGCTTTAGATCTTAATTGTAAAAAATAGAAATAGCTGAGCATATCCTCTTAAAAGACAGTCTATGGCGACCTTAAGAAAGTTTGAAAATAAAAAATTTCCCTTGACAAAAGAAGAAAAATAATAACATATTCCATACTACAGTATATGATTAGCCTGATGAGGTTCATGCTAAAACTGTCTTCTATCTGCAGACAGATGGTGGCTTGCTTAGGATTTTCCCCTCAAATCACACCCAGTCAGTAGACATTGCTCCACTTGCAAATAGATTGCTCTTCTTTTGGTCAGATAAAAGAAACCCACATGAAGTACAGCCTTGCTACAGGGACAGGTAATGAATGGGCAAATTCTAGACAGGACAGAATACGCAGGGGGTCAATGGAGAACAGTATTTTTGTTCCACTACACATGAATATGTTTACATAACAGCGCTTCACCTGAGCTGGATTTTCTGGTCATTTAATGTTGTTCATGTGTTAGGCTAGCGGTAGCTAAAGAATATGGTCATATGAAAGTAACTGCTGTGTATAGATGTGATTGTTTTGTCACATCAACAATTTTCTTAATTAATGAACTGATAATCAGCTTTGCTCAAGTTTCTTATTATTAGTTCAAATAAATTTGATAAAAATAAGCACAGGTCTTGATAGGACAGGGACTAGATTAGATTGTGTCCTGCCCATTTAAAGAGCTCTAACATAGATATTTTAAAATTGTAAAAATCTAATTTAGACTTTAGACATCAAACGTAAAAAATTTGACACAAAAAATGTACACAATTATTTGAAATTATTTTCAATTCTTGGATTATTTCCTACCCAGAATTGTAATTGCCAACTCTGTCAAATTTGACATAGCTCATTGTTTCCTAAAACATCTCATTGTTTCCTAAACCATAGCTCATTGTTTCCTAAAACATTGGTCATTGTTTCCTAAAACATTGGTCATTGTTTCCTAAAACATAGCTCATTGTTTCCTAAAACATAGCTCATTGTCTCCTAAAACATAGCTCATTGTCTCCTAAAACATAGCTCATACCTAAAACATAGCTCATTGTCTCCTAAAACATTTTAAAATCTTCTTAAGATACGCAATGACAGTTTGGTATTTTGATGTACAAGAGAGAGAGAATGCAAAAATTGAAGAACTGAAGCAAGGTAAGTCCAGAAAATAAACAGCTGGCTCCTACATCTCAGCACATAAACTCTCTTAGTACAGCTTTTGTAAATAAACAGCTGGCTCCTACATCTCAGCACATAAACTCTCTTAGTACAGCTTTTGTAAATAAACAGCTGGCTCCTACATCTCAGCACATCAACTCTCTTAGTACAGCTTTTGTAAATAAACAGCTGGCTCCTACATCTCAGCACATCAACTCTCTTAGTACAGCTTTTGTAAATAAACAGCTGGCTCCTACATCTCAGCACATAAACTCTCTTAGTACAGCTTTTGTAAATAAACAGCTGGCTCCTACATCTCAGCACATCAACTCTCTTAGTACAGCTTTTGTAAATAAACAGCTGGCTCCTACATCTCAGCACATAAACTCTCTTAGTACAGCTTTTGTAAATAAACAGCTGGCTCCTACATCTCAGCACATCAACTCTCTTAGTACAGCTTTTGTAAATAAACAGCTGGCTCCTACATCTCAGCACATAAACTCTCTTAGTACAGCTTTTGTAAATAAACAGCTGGCTCCTACATCTCAGCACATAAACTCTCTTAGTACAGCTTTTGTAAATAAACAGCTGGCTCCTACATCTCAGCACATAAACTCTCTTAGTACAGCTTTTGTAAATAAACAGCTGGCTCCTACATCTCAGCACATCAACTCTCTTAGTACAGCTTTTGTAAATAAACAGCTGGCTCCTACATCTCAGCACATAAACTCTCTTAGTACAGCTTTTGTAAATAAACAGCTGGCTCCTACATCTCAGCACATAAACTCTCTTAGTACAGCTTTTGTAAATAAACAGCTGGCTCCTACATCTCAGCACATAAACTCTCTTAGTACAGCTTTTGTGCCTTTATGTACAATATTCAAGTTGAAATTAATATTTTTGTTAAAAAAGAGAAACTTCCTTTCCTACCATTTCAGAAACAGAAAGAATAAATGTTTTGATAACAGAACTAGAAGAAAAGAAAAAGAAACTTGATCAGGTAGACCAATATCACTGACAAATTTAGAGTTCGTTTTAAAATTCCTTTTTGAAAACTCATAGTCAAATATGTTTTGGTTTGAAATAATGTTGAATAGTGTGTTGTTTGTTTTTATTTAATTTAATTACAATGTGTCCTATTTAAATGTAATCTAATAAAAATCCGTGACTTAATTAAACCTGTCTGTTTTTGTTGCAGCTAACACAGAATCAAATGATAGAGAACAGAGCCATGGAGGCAGTAAAAAGTTTGGCTCCACAAGAACTAGAGGTTTTAAAGTTTCAACAATACTTTGACATAATTAAAGAACTATATTTACATTGTTTATTTACATTGACTGCAGTTAAAGGATTGAACATAATTTCAAAATTTTATTGTTATAATTTTAAAGTTATTTTATCATACATAGGTTAGCACTAACTGAAGTGTTTTTTCTTCATTAGGCAATTTCCTTTCTGCTTGAGCACCACCCCAACCCTAGTGAGGCTTTAACTAGCATGGGAATCTCTGACACCATACAGCAAGCACTGAGACGCTACTTCAGCTCACTGCATTCTGGTGTATGAGGAGTGTTTGTTGAGCTCACACTCTGGTGTATGAGTGTTTGTTGAGCTCACATTCTGGTGTATGAGTGTTTGTTGAGCTCACATTCTGGTGTATGAGGAGTGTTTGTTGAGCTCACACTCTGGTGTATGAGTGTTTGTTGAGCTCACATTCTGGTGTATGAGTGTTTGTTGAGCTCACATTCTGGTGTATGAGTGTTTGTTGAGCTCACATTCTGGTGTATGAGGAGTGTTTGCTGAGCTCACATTCTGGTGTATGAGAGCTTGTTGAGCTCACACTCTGGTGTATGAGGAGTGTTTGTTGAGCTCACACTCTGGTGTATGAGGAGTGTTTGTTGTGGTCACATTCTGGTGTATGAGGAGTGTTTGTTGATGTGTCCACGTACATTGGATGTGCCATGTTGATTGGATGTGCCATGTTGATTGGATGTGCCAATGTTGATTGGATGTGCCAATGTTGTTTGGATGTGCCAATGTTGTTTGGATGTGCCAATGTTGTTTGGATGTGCCCATGTTAATTGGATGTGCTAATGTTGATTGAATCTGTCCTGCATGGATGATATACCTAAATGTAAAACAAAGGTCTGCCTGCCGTCTGCACGTTTCAACAGACAGCAGTCAGACAAATGAGAGCAAACACATCGCAGTCCTCTCCAATTCTTACTTTCAAAGTAAAACAGATGTAGTGCTTCAAGGGAGGTAACTACACCTTCTTTAAAAATGATTATAACATCCCTTGACTCCTTTAAAATATTCAATAGAAACCTAGATAAAAATTGCTAAATAAAATCTTTAAGCTACGGAGTCTTGTTCGAATGTAAGAAATCTCTGGTGACTGCTGAGACACTATTGCACATTAATTATCTCCGCGGTTTCTCGAATATTCTTATATAACACTACGTGGGATGGCAACTCGGAATATAGACATGATTTTTAATTGCTTAAAACTTTTTAAAGTAGAATCTCGTAGAAAAAAAGAATTGCGCACCTAGTGAACGGCAAACGATATGTGTATAATAGTGCGGAATACTAGTACTTTATACATTCATTTTCGTTTTTTTTTTTGAGAAATCGGAAATAGCGTAAATCACTACTTCTGGACCACATAAATTACTCAAAATTTGACAGAAGGCAAAAAATAAGATCTTTTGTGAAGAAATTTCTAAAACAGTACTCAAGTTATATAGACTTTTGAAAAACCAAAAGTATATTAAGTTCCACTTCCGGTTACCGGAAATGGCTGAAAAGTTGATACAGAAGTACAAATTTTATATAATACATGTATATGAAATTTTATCAACCTAGCTGTAACGGCACTCAAGTTATCATGTCCACAGACACACATACACACAGACAGAATTGCAAAGCCCAGTTTTTTTCGACTCGATTACGCATAGATCGCTGAAATTTTGATAAATCTCCATTTATAATTTTTGCCCGATTAAAATAAGTCCCATATACTCCGTATATGATGAAGTACTGAGGTGTAAAACGAAGGAAATTCAAAATTTCATGTAATTTTTGTGCACGATTACAATACTTCCTCTATATTTCGTATACGAGAAAGTAAAAATTGCAATAAAAGCGAGAGCTAGTAAAAATTTTAATAAAAGCGAGAGCTAGTAAAAATTGCAATAAAAGTGAGAGCTAGTTTTGGGAGTTAAACACGCGACAAGAGATCTTACGACAGTTATGCCCTTAAGGTGATCTGTAAAGGACATCAGATTTAGGGATTTAGCAATGTCCCCTGGCAAGTCGGTAACACCTTCACATCTTTATTGGGTAAGTTCAAACAGGAGAAATATTGACGCAAGTTTTAACAACTGTTTTCTTAACTGGCGGCGGTTGAAAATGTAATTGCAGTTGAAAGGGCCGGGTTTAGCGTTTAACAGAGCGAAACACGCAGTGTCAGGGTTTGTGCAGGGGTCAGGTTTAACGTTCAGAACTTTGTACATCAAGAATTTCAAACAAAACAAAGAGAAAAACATCAAAGTTGTCAACACGACCAAGCTACGTTTTGTAGACCAAATTCACTAATACTAATATAGATTATTATGTCAAAAGTTGTAAGTCTCCTAACGTCTGACGATCTCACGAGAACCACACACTGGCCGTTTGTTTTAGCCAGATTGGGCTGCATATATTTTGTTGAAATATTTTGTTCCGCTCAGCCAAATCACAGCCACATGCGGCTGAAACGATTGAGTTTTTCTTTAAATAAAAAATGAAATTATTTGAAAGCGGAAACAAACATTAGTAGCAATCAAGGAAAAACTCTCTTCAAAGTGATAAATGAGTGAACGTGAAGCGATGGCAGCGGGTGTAAACACCGTCCGTTTCATGTCCAGCCGAGCCACGTCATTGGGGAAAAACTCGTTGCTTTGTGTCCACTAGGCTGTTTGATTGAAGCTCAATTATCTCAACATTAAACATGCATGAGGTAGATCTAGTAAAACCTAGTGAAATTATCTCAACATTAAAACATGCATTAGGTAGATCCAGTAAAACCTAGGGAAACTTACAATTCTTTGGGGGGGGGGGGGGGGGGGGAGTAAAAAGTTCGGGGTTCCTCCATCCTTAAGCTGCCATTGATTTTTGCTTAACAAGCTCAGGGCAGGATGATAGCCCTGCAAAAATAATGTGTGACCAGCCTCTAGATACACGTATACCTATCGTTGTATTTTTTAGAAGTAATTCATACGCATGTTTTTGGGACAGGGTTGGCGAGATCTAGCTGGCACAAGAAGGTTTACTACTGTACCGTGTCTGATTAACTCGGCACTTAGTGGGCTCAGCGTGATGACAGCTGATGCTAACACTAACAGTATGTAAAGGGGTGGAGGGGGGGGCACACAGGTAAAAACATGAGCAGTGGTAGAGACAGGTAAAAACATGAGCAGTGGTAGAGACAGGTAAAAACATGAGCAGTGGTAGAGACAGGTAAAAACATGAGCAGTGGTAGAGACAGGTAAAAACATGAGCAGTGGTAGAGACAGGTAAAAACATGAGCAGTGGTAGAGACAGGTAAAAACATGAGCAGTGGTAGAGGCAGGTAAAAACATGAGCAGTCGTAGAGACAGGTAAAAACATGAGCAGGTCGAAACACAGGAAAGATTTAAATGAGAGACAAGAAACAATAAGAGAACAGTTTAAAAAGAAGCAAAACTAATAATTTGAATATACAAATATGTTTATTGAGAAAGTGAGTGCTAAATTTAGACGATGGCATATTGCTGATACAAAAGTTCCCTAATCTTAAAGTAATCCTCACACAATGAGCCCTCCATCTTCATTTTGCCAGCTGTGTCCTGAAACATTTGTATACAAGATTAGCCAGGCACACAACATGGGCATCAATAGATGACATGGGAGGCAATAGATTACACTCCTCTCTCATGACCAAACAATACAAATCTAACAAACTTGATGAAAGAGAGGATGGAATAAAACGTTCAATACAAGAGACTGACCCTGCGTACGGCCACCTGGTTGTTACAGACCAGAACTCCTCCAGCAAACTCACACTGTACCCCAGCACTGATCAGCACTATCTTCAGGTCAGACAGCTTGGGCTCGTTGATGAACACAGCGGTGTGGGCGGGGACCTGCAGGATACACGGGTCAGACAAATCTTGACCTTGGTCAGACAAATCTTGACCTTGGTCAGACAAATCTTGACCTTGGTCAGACAAATCTTGACCTTGGTCAGATAAATCTTGACCTTGGTCAGATAAATCTTGACACAGACCTTGGTCAGACAAATCTTGACCTTGGTCAGACAAATCTTGACCTTGGTCAGACAAATCTTGACCTTGGTCAGACAAATCTTGACCTTGGTCAGACAAATCTTGACCTTGGTCAGACAAATCTTGACCTTGGTCAGACAAATCTTGACACAGACCTTGGTCAGACAAATCTTGACACAGACCTTGGTCAGACAAATCTTGACACAGACCGTGGCCAGACAAATCTTGACACAGACCTTGGTCAGACAAATCTTGACCTTGGTCAGACAAATCTTGACCTTGGTCAGACAAATCTTGACCTTGGTCAGACAAATCTTGAGCTTGGTCAGACAAATCTTGACACAGACCTTGGTCAGACAAATCTTGACATTGGTCAGACAAATCTTGACCTTGGTCAGACAAATCTTGACACAGACTGTGGTCAGACAAATCTTGACCTTGGTCAGACAAATCTTGACACAGACCTTGGTCAGACAAATCTTGACACAGACCGTGGCCAGACAAATCTTGACACAGACCTTGGTCAGACAGGACAAAAGACATGTGAAAATGGTGCAACTTACCCCAGCAGGTGGTAGACCTTCTAGTGTGGGTAGACTGACACTGAGCTGATCTAGAGATGAAAATATGCAAACAGTCAGGGAGCATGAAGATGTTTGGCTGACTACTGAGGTCTTTAGCTGACCTCTAGGAAGTGTCTAGGATAACATCATCTCATGCCTAGGATAACATCATCTCATGCCTAGGATAACATCATCTCATGCCTAGGATAACATCTCATGCCTAGGATAACATCATCTCATGCCTAGGATAACATCTCATGCCTAGGATAACATCATCTCATGCCTAGGATAACATCATCTCATGCCTAGGATACTATCTCACATCTAGGATAATATCTCATGCCTAGGATAGCATCTCATGCATAGGATAATATCTTACATGTAAGATAATCTCACAACTTGGACATTATCACATATGTAGGATAATATTATCTTATGTCTAGAATATTGTTGTCTTGTCTAGGATATTATCTCACATCTAGGATAATATTTTTTCACATCTAGCATATTATTATCTCACATCTAGGATATTATTATCTCACAACTCGGATATTATCATCTCACATCTAGGATAATATTATCTCACATCTAGGATAATAATATCTCACATCTAGGATATTTTTTCACATGTAGGATGTTATTACCTCTATCATTTGCTTATCTGACCTCTAGGATAGGTTTAAGAAAGAAATCTCTACATGAAAAGGACAAGCTGTGAGATTTACCTTTTTTCTTTTTGTTCCCATCCTCCATTTCCTCCTCCTCCTTCTCCTCCTCCTCTGGTAGATCTGGGATGTTGAGCTGACCATCCACCCATGCCAGCTCCATGTCCTTAGCCTTAGAGAACATCAGTGAACTGACCAGGTGGTCCCTCAGTCTCACCTGTTAGGTTATAGAAAGACATTCAGTCTCACCTGTTAGGTTATATAAAGACATTCAGTCTCACCTGTTAGGTTATATAAAGACATTCAGTCTCACCTGTTAGGTTATATAAAGACATTCAGTCTCACCTGTTAGGTTATATAAAGACATTCAGTCTCACCTGTTAGGTTATACAAAGACATTCAATCTCACATGTTAGGTTATATAAAGACATTCAGTCTCACCTGTTAGGTTATATAAAGACATTCAATCTCACATGTTAGGTTATATAAAGACATTCAGTCTCACCTGTTAGGTTATATAAAGACATTCAATCTCACATGTTAGGTTATATAAAGACATTCAGTCTCACCTGTTAGGTTATATAAAGACATTCAGTCTCACCTGTTAGGTTATATAAAGACATTCAGTTATATTCTATACAGACATTCAGCTCTACCCTCTCAATACTTAGGTTTTTATAGAGAGAAATTCCACTTGAACTAAATAAGTTTTGGATAAAGCACCACACATTTTTTCCTTGTGTTTGAACAAAATGATCCCCATTAACGTAAATAAAGACAGAGATTTATCTACAAGCAGGGCTGTCTAAATAATGAAGACAATTACTGCACACAGGCCGCCCAAACCTTTCCATTACAACCTACAGTTCTTTTTCCAGTGTTAGATTAGAGCCACGTAATCAGGGCTGCAAACATGAGCTTGAGGAGGGAAGCATTGCTTGACTCTAATGTATCTAATCGAGTCATCCACACAATCAGTCAATCATGTATCTAATCCAGTCATCAACACAAACAATCAGTCAATCGCGTATCTAATCCAGTCATCCATACAAACAATCAGTCAATCATGTATCTAATCCAGTCATCCACACAAACAATCAGTCAATCATGTATCTAATCTAGTCATCCACACAATCAGTCAATCATGTATCTAATCCAGTCATCCACACAAACAATCAGTCAATCATGTATCTAATCCAGTCATCAACACAAACAATCAGTCAATCATGTATCTAATCTAGTCATCCACACAATCAGTCAATCATGTATCTAATCCAGTCATCCACACAAACAATCAGTCAATCATGTATCTAATCCAGTCATCAACACAATCAGTCAATCATGTATCTAATCCAGTCATCAACACAATCAGTCAATCATGTATCTAATCGAGTCATCCACACAAACAATCAGTCAATCATGTATCTAATCCAGTCATCCACACAAACAATCAGTCAATCATGTATCTAATCCAGTCATCCACACAAACAATCAGTCAATCATGTATCTAATCTAGTCATCCACACAATCAGTCAATCATGTATCTAATCCAGTCATCCACACAAACAATCAGTCAATCATGTATCTAATCCAGTCATCAACACAAACAATCAGTCAATCATGTATCTAATCCAGTCATCCACACAATCAGTCAATCATGTATCTAATCCAGTCATCCACACAATCAGTCAATCATGTATCTAATCTAGTCATCCACACAAACAATCAGTCAATCATGTATCTAATCCAGTCATCCACACAAACAATCAGTCAATCTAACATCAATCTAATCTTAACAAATCTGTTTCAGCAAATTCATCATATATAAGAGAATGTGTAGGGAGCTGGGAAAATGTGTAGGGAGCTGAGTCTGTTAGAGAATGTGTAGGGAGCTGGGTCAGTTAGAGAATGTGTAGGGAGCTGGGCATGTTAGAGAATGTGTAGGGAGCTGGGAAAATGTGTAGGGAGCTGGGCATGTTAGAGAATGTGTAGGGAGCTGGGTCAGTTAGAGAATGTGTAGGGAGCTGGGCATGTTAGAGAATGTGTAGGGAGCTGGGTCAGTTAGAGAATGTGTAGGGAGCTGGGTCTGTTAGAGAATGTGTAGGGAGCTGGGTCAGTTAGAGAATGTGTAGGGAGCTGGGCATGTTAGAGAATGTGTAGGGAGCTGGGAGAATGTGTAGGGAGCTGGGTCTGTTAGAGAATGTGTAGGGAGCTGGGAAAATGTGTAGGGAGCTGGGCATGTTAGAGAATGTGTAGGGAGCTGGGTCAGTTAGAGAATGTGTAGGGAGCTGGGCCTGTTAGAGAATGTGTAGGGAGCTGGGCATGTTAGAGAATGTGTAGGGAGCTGGGCATGTTAGAGAATGTGTAGGGAGCTGAGTCTGTTAGAGAATGTGTAGGGAGCTGGGTCAGTTAGAGAATGTGTAGGGAGCTGGGCATGTTAGAGAATGTGTAGGGAGCTGGGCATGTTAGAGAATGTGTAGGGAGCTGGGAGAATGTGTAGGGAGCTGGGTCTGTTAGAGAATGTGTAGGGAGCTGGGTCAGTTAGAGAATGTGTAGGGAGCTGGGCATGTTAGAGAATGTGTAGGGAGCTGGGAGAATGTGTAGGGAGCTGGGCATGTTAGAGAATGTGTAGGGAGCTGAGTCTGTTAGAGAATGTGTAGGGAGCTGGGTCAGTTAGAGAATGTGTAGGGAGCTGGGCATGTTAGAGAATGTGTAGGGAGCTGGGCATGTTAGAGAATGTGTAGGGAGCTGGGAGAATGTGTAGGGAGCTGGGTCAGTTAGAGAATGTGTAGGGAGCTGGGTCAGTTAGAGAATGTGTAGGGAGCTGGGCCTGTTAGAGAATGTGTAGGGAGCTGGGCATGTTAGAGAATGTGTAGGGAGCTGGGAAAATGTGTAGGGAGCTGGGCCTGTTAGAGAATGTGTAGGGAGCTGGGTCAGTTAGAGAATGTGTAGGGAGCTGGGCCTGTTAGAGAATGTGTAGGGAGCTGGGCATGTTAGAGAATGTGTAGGGAGCTGGGAAAATGTGTAGGGAGCTGGGCATGTTAGAGAATGTGTAGGGAGCTGGGAAAATGTGTAGGGAGCTGGGCATGTTAGAGAATGTGTAGGGAGCTGGGAGAATGTGTAGGGAGCTGGGTCAGTTAGAGAATGTGTAGGGAGCTGGGCATGTTAGAGAATGTGTAGGGAGCTGGGCATGTTAGAGAATGTGTAGGGAGCTGGGCATGTTAGAGAATGTGTAGAGAGCTGGGCCTGTGGGAGAATGTGTAGGGAGCTGGGCATGTTAGAGAATGTGTAGGGAGCTGGGCATGTTAGAGAATGTGTAGAGAGCTGGGCCTGTGGGAGAATGTGTAGGGAGCTGGGTCAGTTAGAGAATGTGTAGGGAGCTGGGTCAGTTAGAGAATGTGTAGGGAGCTGGGAGAAAGTGTAGGGAGCTGGGAGAATGTACTGAGACCAGTAAATCAATGAAAGAAATAAACTAGTGCCTTGATAGACGGCTGTAAGACAAGGATCAGCAATGTCTGGCAGAACTTCTCCAATTAAGCTAAGCTCATTTAATGTCACCCCTCTAATCCTTTATTGATCCATTACAATCACTTAACATAGTCAGCACAGCCTGTCATTACTATCCTGGGAACGGCATATTACTGCCTTCTAACATTAGATGACATGTTTAGATTTCCTTCAGTTTTTTCTCTCAAACTTGGAAAGGAGACAGTAATAAAGTTTGAACGAGATTTGAATGGTGGTTTGAATGTTGCAAGAAGCAGACACGGGCTATTAGCAGACGAACACAGTAGCAGCAAGTGCCCTCAAGATGCCAGCCAAATTGGCCAGAGCTTGGAGAACATCTCTAAGCCACTCACAACCCCAGCAAGCTCACTAATATCATCTCATTATGGTCTCCACTCACAACCCCACCAAGCTCACTAATATCATCTCATTATGGTCTCCACTCACAACCCCAGCAAGCTCACTAATATCATCTCATTATGGTCTCCACTCACAACCCCAGCAAGCTCACTAATATCATCTCATTATGGTCTCCACTCACAACCCCAGCAAGCTCACTAATATCATCTCATTATGGTCTCCACTCACAACCCCAGCAAGCTCACTAATATCATCTCATTATGGTCTCCACTCACAACCCCAGCAAGCTCACTAATATCATCTCATTATGGTCTCCACTCACAACCCCAGCAAGCTCACTAATATCATCTCATTATGGTCTCCACTCACAACCCCAGCAAGCTCACTAATATCATCTCATTATGGTCTCCACTCACAACCCCAGCAAGCTCACTAATATCTCATTATGGTCTCCACTCACAACCCCAGCAAGCTCACTAATATCATCTCATTATGGTCTCCACTCACAACCCCAGCAAGCTCACTAATATCATCTCATTATGGTCTCCACTCACAACCCCAGCAAGCTCACTAATATCATCTCATTATGGTCTCCACTCACAACCCCAGCAAGCTCACTAATATCATCTCATTATGGTCTCCACTCACAACCCCAGCAAGCTCACTAATATCATCTCATTATGGTCTCCACTCACAACCCCAGCAAGCTCACTAATATCATCTCATTAGGGTCTCCACACACAACCCCAGCAAGCTCACTAATATCATCTCATTATGGTCTCCACTCACAACCCCAGCAAGCTCACTAATATCATCTCATTATGGTCTCCACTCACAACCCCAGCAAGCTCACTAATATCATCTCATTATGGTCTCCACTCACAACCCCAGCAAGCTCACTAATATCATCTCATTATGGTCTCCACTCACAACCCCAGCAAGCTCACTAATATCATCTCATTATGGTCTCCACTCACAACCCCAGCAAGCTCACTAATATCATCTCATTATGGTCTCCACTCACAACCCCAGCAAGCTCACTAATATCTCATTATGGTCTCCACTCACAACCCCAGCAAGCTCACTAATATCATCTCATTATGGTCTCCACTCACAACCCCAGCAAGCTCACTAATATCATCTCATTATGGTCTCCACTCACAACCCCAGCAAGCTCACTAATATCATCTCATTATGGTCTCCACTCACAACCCCAGCAAGCTCACTAATATCATCTCATTATGGTCTCCACTCACAACCCCAGCAAGCTCACTAATATCATCTCATTATGGTCTCCACTCACAACCCCAGCAAGCTCACTAATATCATCTCATTATGGTCTCCACTCACAACCCCAGCAAGCTCACTAATATCTCATTATGGTCTCCACTCACAACCCCAGCAAGCTCACTAATATCATCTCATTATGGTCTCCACTCACAACCCCAGCAAGCTCACTAATATCTCATTATGGTCTCCACTCACAACCCCAGCAAGCTCACTAATATCATCTCATTATGGTCTCCACTCACAACCCCAGCAAGCTCACTAATATCATCTCATTATGGTCTCCACTCACAACCCCAGCAAGCTCACTAATATCATCTCATTATGGTCTCCACTCACAACCTCAGCAAGCTCACTAATATCTCATTATGGTCTCCACTCACAACCCCAGCAAGCTCACTAATATCATCTCATTATGGTCTCCACTCACAACCACAGCAAGCTCACTAATATCATCTCATTATGGTCTCCACTCACAACCCCAGCAAGCTCACTAATATCTCATTATGGTCTCCACTCACAACCCCAGCAGGTTCACTAATATCATCTCATTATGGTCTCCACTTGCACACACTTACTGCCCCAGTCAAAGATTGGCCTCTCCAATCATCTCATTATGGTCTCCACTTGCACACATTTACTCAAAGATGGCTTACATGGGAAGATGTTAAATGTCAATAACCATGTCACGTTAGTGTCCATATGTTCCCTTAAGTTCAAATGTCATACAGCTTCAATGTAAACTATTCGTAAAATTTCACATATATGGTCAGGTGTCATTTACAACTTCAAAAGTCACTTCCACATCAAATGTCACATACTAAAATGTCATTTAGCCAGATAAAAAATACTTGCCTGGTAAATGTGTCTCTCTGTGGTAGCATCGATGACGTCACCAATGTTTGGACAGTAGACGCTGCCCTCCACAAAGCCAGACGTCTGGCAGTAATCACCGAGCGCCAAGGTTGCCTCTTCTGGCCCATGGATCAAAATCTGATGAGTACACACAAACCAGGCTATAGCGACACATACCACAGGAGCAGGGAATACGTGTGTGGTAGTGGCATATGACACATACCACAGGGAATACGTGTGTGGTAGTGGCATATGACACATACCACAGGGAGCAGGGAATACGTGTGTGGTAGTGGCATATGACACATACCACAGGGAATACGTGTGTGGTAGTGGCATATGACACATACCACAGGGAATACGTGTGTGGTAGTGGCATATGACACATACCACAGGGAATACGTGTGTGGTAGTGGCATATGACACATACCACAGGGAATACGTGTGTGGTAGTGGCATATGACACATACCACAGGGAATACGTGTGTGGTAGTGGCATATGACACATACCACAGGGAATACGTGTGTGGTAGTGGCATATGACACATACCACAGGGAGCAGGGAATACGTGTGTGGTAGTGGCATATGACACATACCACAGGGAATACGTGTGTGGTAGTGGCATATGACACATACCACAGGGAGCAGGGAATACGTGTGTGGTAGTGGCATATGACACATACCACAGGGAGCAGGGAATACGTGTGTGGTAGTGGCATATGACACATACCACAGGGAGCAGGGAATACGTGTGTGGTAGTGGCATATGACACATACCACAGGGAATACGTGTGTGGTAGTGGCATATGACACATACCACAGGGAATACGTGTGTGGTAGTGGCATATGACACATACCACAGGGAATACGTGTGTGGTAGTGGCATATGACACATACCACAGGGAGCAGGGAATACATGTGTGGTAGTGGCATATGACACATACCACAGGGAATACGTGTGTGGTAGTGGCATATGACACATACCACAGGGAATACTTGTGTGGTAGTGGCATATGACACATACCACAGGGAATACGTGTGTGGTAGTGGCATATGACACATACCACAGGGAATACGTGTGTGGTAGTGGCATATGACACATACCACAGGGAATACGTGTGTGGTAGTGGTATATGACACATACCACAGGGAGCAGGGAATACGTGTGTGGTAGTGGCATATGACACATAACACAGGGAATACGTGTGTGGTAGTGGCATATGACACATACCACAGGGAATACGTGTGTGGTAGTGGCATATGACACATACCACAGGGAATACGTGTGTGGTAGTGGCATATGACACATACCACAGGGAATACGTGTGTGGTAGTGGTATATGACACATACCACAGGGAGCAGGGAATACGTGTGTGGTAGTGGCATATGACACATAACACAGGGAATACATGTGTGGTAGTGGTATATGACACATACCACAGGGAGCAGGGAATACGTGTGTGGTAGTGGTATATGACACATACCACAGGGAGCAGGGAATACGTGTGTGGTAGTGGCATATGACACATACCACAGGGAATACGTGTGTGGTAGTGGCATATGACACATACCACAGGGAGCAGGGAATACATGTGTGGTAGTGGCATATGACACATACCACAGGGAATACGTGTGTGGTAGTGGCATATGACACATACCACAGGGAATACTTGTGTGGTAGTGGCATATGACACATACCACAGGGAATACGTGTGTGGTAGTGGCATATGACACATACCACAGGGAATACGTGTGTGGTAGTGGTATATGACACATACCACAGGGAGCAGGGAATACGTGTGTGGTAGTGGCATATGACACATACCACAGGGAGCAGGGAATACGTGTGTGGTAGTGGTATATGACACATACCACAGGGAGCAGGGAATACGTGTGTGGTAGTGGCATATGACACATACCACAGGGAGCAGGGAATACGTGTGTGGTAGTGGTATATGACACATACCACAGGGAATACGTGTGTGGTAGTGGCATATGACACATACCACAGGGAATACGTGTGTGGTAGTGGCATATGACACATACCACAGGGAATACGTGTGTGGTAGTGGCATATGACACATACCACAGGGAATACGTGTGTGGTAGTGGCATATGACACATACCACAGGGAGCAGGGAATACGTGTGTGGTAGTGGCATATGACACATACCACAGGGAATACATGTGTGGTAGTGGCATATGACACATACCACAGGGAGGAGGGAATACGTGTGTGGTAGTGGCATATGACACATACCACAGGGGATACGTGTGTGGTAGTGGCATATGACACATACCACAGGGAATACATGTGTGGTAGTGGCATATGACACATACCACAGGGGATACGTGTGTGGTAGTGGCATATGACACATACCACAGGGAATACGTGTGTGGTAGTGGCATATGACACATACCACAGGAAGCAGGGGATACGTGTGTGGTAGTGGCATCCCTCAACAATCCATGACAACAGTTTTCTCATCTGTAAAGTTGGTTGCTAGTCGGCTGACCATGGGCCGGTGACATCATGAAATTACTGGTCAAACAAACGGCACATATTCCAATCACCCTAACCGTCCACGATCTCTCAATAAGCCGTGTACGATCTCAAAATAAGCCGTGTAAGATCTCTAAATAAGCTGGGGGATCGCAGCAAAAAGTAAATTGAAAGAAGAGACATCAACAACAACAAAGCGGTGAATGTTGTAATTGTGTGTCGGCCATCGCTAGGAACATTTCGCTGTAAGAATGGGTCGGGGGTGTCCATACATCGTGCTGTTGATAGGGGGTGTCCATACATCGTGCTGGTGAAAGGGGGTGGTGAGAGGGGGTTGTCCATACATCGATTTGGCAAGAGGGGGGTGTCCATACATCGTGGTGGTGGGAGGAGGGTGTCCATACATCGTGCTGGTGAAAGGGGGGTGGTGAGAGGGGGTTGTCCATACATCGATTTGGCAAGAGGGGGGTGTCCATACATCGTGGTGGTGGGAGGAGGGTGTCCATACATCGTGGTGGTAAGAGGGGGGTGTCCATAAGGGGGGGGGGGTGTTAAGATTGGGAGGGGGTGGTGGCGAGAGGGGGGGTGAGATGGGGGGGGGCGTGTCCATACATCGTGGTGGTGAGAAGGGGGGGAGCAAGGCTAGTTTGACAACACACTTTGTTTTTGTTTCAATGATGAACAACGTAACCCCAACATGACAAACTATCCTATACAGAGACAGGCGTCAATAAAGCCAACCATTTATTGTATATGCCACTGTATACAGAGACAGGCGTCAATAAAGCCAACCATGTATTGTATATGCCACTGTATACAGAGACAGGCGTCAATAAAGCCAACCATGTATAGTATATGCCACTGTATACAGAGACAGGCGTCAATAAAGCCAACCATGTATTGTATATGCCACTGATTCCAAAGTTTTTAAACTAGATGTCTTTTACACAAACTTAGCAAACAGACTAGTGTACATGTAGAGATGAGAAGAATAAAATTCTTGAACGGGTGCGGCAGATACCAACAGAAAGAAAGTAATTGAACGCGTGTGTATGTGTGTGTTTGGGGGGGGGGGGAGCTGGGTGGAGATGATGAAAAGTCGAAAGAACGCTAAAGAAAAGTGGAGAGAAAGAGAGAGAGAGAGAGAGAGAGAGAGAGAGAGAGAGAGAGAGAGTGAGAGAGAGAGAGAGAGAGAGAGAGAGAGAGAGAGAGAGAGAAGCGAAATTAACGTGGACCAACATTCGAGCCAACGGTAGGCCGGGAAATGGCCTCTTTAGTCGCGGAGTCGTGTGCTGAGAATAACGATAGGAAAGGCATAAAACAGTTGACATTCACTCAACAAACTGTAAAGATAGGAAAGGCATAAAACAGTTGACATTCACTCAACAAACTGTAAAGATAGGAAAGGCATAAAACAGTTGACATTCACTAAACAAACTGTAAAGATAGGAAAGGCATAAAACAGTTGACATTCACTCAACAAACTGTAAAGATAGGAAAGGCATAAAACAGTTGACATTCACTCAACAAACTGTAAAGATAGGAAAGGCATAAAACAGTTGACATTCACTCAACAAACTGTAAAGATAGGAAAGGCATAAAACAGTTGACATTCACTCAACAAGCTGTTTTCCCACAATGTCTACACCATCATTTCCTGAAAATGTCTCTATAAGACTATGTACAGTTAACTTGTACTAAATAAATATAAGTACCCAGATGTTCTCTATCTTTGTATTTTGTTAAATAGGTGGAGGCGGAGGGGGAGGGAGAGAAGGAAAGGCCAATATGTGTGGGGGATGAGGGGGAGGGAGAGAAGGAAAGGCCAATATGTGTGGGGGATGAGGGGGAGGGAGAGAAGGAAAGGCCAATATGTGTGGGGGATGAGGGGGAGGGAGAGAAGGAAAGGCCAATATGTGTGGGGGATGGGGTGTGTGTGGATAAAATGGTTTATTTGGCTGCTTAAAGTGACTTTGATGGAGTCAAAAGGAAACCATGTATGAATAATTCATCAGTTATGGAATAAACATTCAGGCTGGACACAAGGGCCAGAGTGATATTCCACTAGACCAAACCCTACAGTTGACTAGACCAAACCCTACAGTTGACTAGACCAAACCCTACAGTTGACTCGACCAAACCCTACAGTTGACTTGACCAAACCCTACAGTTGACTCGACCAAACCCTACAGATGACTCCACTAGACCAAACCCTACAGTTGACTCGACCAAACCCTACAGTTGACTAGACCAAACCTTACAGTTGGCTAGACCAAACCCTACAGTTCACTTGACCTAACCCTACAGTTGACTAGACCAAACCCTACAGTTGGCTAGACCAAACCCTACAGTTGGCTAGACCAAACCCTACAGTTGACTATACCAAACCCTACAGTTGACTCCACTAGACCAAACCCTACAGTTGGCTAGACCAAACCCTACAGTTCACTTGACCAAACCCTACAGTTGACTAGACCAAACCCTACAGTTCACTTGACCAAACCCTACAGTTGACTAGACCAAACCCTACAGTTGGCTAGACCAAACCCTACAGTTGACTAGACCAAACCCTACAGTTGGCTAGACCAAACCCTACAGTTGACTAGACCAAACCCTACAGTTGACTAAACCAAACCCTACAGTTGACTAGACCAAACCCTACAGTTGACTCGACCAAACCCTACAGTTGATTAAACCAAACCCTACAGTTGACTAGACCAAACCCTACAGTTGACTCGACCAAACCCTACAGTTGATTAGACCAAACACTACAGTTGATTAGACCAAACACTACAGTTGGCTAGACCAAACCCTACAGTTGGCTAGACCAAACCCTACAGTTGATTAGACCAAACACTACAGTTGACTCGACTAGACCAAACTCTACAGTTGACTGAACTAGATTGAACCTTACCAGTTATTGGATTTGACTTAAAAATTATGTCAACTATATGGACAGGCTACTTGACCAAACTTACCAGCTGGGCTAACAGTGTGAGCTAAAAGGACCAGCTACTTGACCTAGACTTACCAGCTGGGCTAACAGTGTGAGCTAAATGGACAAGCTAATTGACCTAGACTTACCAGCTGGGCTAACAGTGTGAGCTAAATGGACCAGCTAATTGACCTAGACTTACCAGCTGGGCTAACAGTGTGAGCTAAAAGGACCAGCTACTTGACCTAGACTTACCAGCTGGGCTAACAGTGTGAGCTAAATGGACAAGCTAATTGACCTAGACTTACCAGCTGGGCTAACAGTGTGAGCTAAATGGACCAGCTAATTGACCTAGACTTACCAGCTGGGCTAACAGTGTGAGCTAAATGGACCAGCTACTTGACCTAGACTTACCAGCTGGGCTAACAGTGTGAGCTAAATGGATCAGCTACTTGATCTAGACTTACCAGCTGGGCTAACAGTGTGAGCTAAATGGACCAGCTAATTGACCTAGACTTACCAGCTGGGCTAACAGTGTGAGCTAAATGGACCAGCTACTTGACCTAGACTTACCAGCTGGGCTAACAGTGTGAGCTAAATGGACCAGCTACTTGACCTAGACTTACCAGCTGGGCTAACAGTGTGAGCTAAAAGGACCAGGTAATTGACCTAGACTTACCAGCTGGGCTAACAGTGTGAGCTAAATGGACCAGGTAATTGACCTAGACTTACCAGCTGGGCTAACAGTGTGAGCTAAATGGACCAGGTAATTGACCTAGACTTACCAGCTGGGCTAACAGTGTGAGCTAAATGGACCAGCTACTTGACCTAGACTTACCAGCTTGGCTAATAGTGTGAGCTAAAAGGACCAGCTACTTGACCTAGACTTACCAGCTGGGCTAATAGTGTGAGCTAAATGGACCAGCTAATTGACCTAGACTTACCAGCTGGGCTAATAGTGTGAGCTAAAAGGACCAGCTACTTGACCTAGACTTACCAGCTGGGCTAACAGTGTGAGCTAAATGGACCAGCTACTTGACCTAGACTTACCAGCTGGGCTAACAGTGTGAGCTAAATGGACCAGCTACTTGACCTAGACTTACCAGCTGGGCTAACAGTGTGAGCTAAATGGATCAGCTACTTGATCTAGACTTACCAGCTGGGCTAACAGTGTGAGCTAAAAGGACCAGCTACTTGATCTAGACTTACCAGCTGGGCTAACAGTGTGAGCTAAATGGACCAGCTAATTGACCTAGACTTACCAGCTGGGCTAACAGTGTGAGCTAAATGGACCAGCTACTTGACCTAGACTTACCAGCTGGGCTAACAGTATGAGCTAAATGGACGAGCTAATTGACCTAGACTTACCAGCTGGGCTAACAGTGTGAGCTAAATGGACCAGCTACTTGACCTAGACTTACCATCTGGGCTAACAGTGTGAGCTAAATGGATCAGCTACTTGATCTAGACTTACCAGCTGGGCTAACAGTGTGAGCTAAAAGGACCAGCTACTTGATCTAGACTTACCAGCTGGGCTAACAGTGTGAGCTAAATGGACCAGCTAATTGACCTAGACTTACCAGCTGGGCTAACAGTGTGAGCTAAAAGGACCAGCTAATTGACCTAGACTTACCAGCTGGGCTAACAGTATGAGCTAAATGGACGAGCTAATTGACCTAGACTTACCAGCTGTTTAGGCTTGACTTGAGATAAATACTTTTTGATCGACTTTCCATCTGATCTTCCTTCAAAATCAATAAACTGCACTTTAGCGTTGATGTCTAAAGTGACCGTTGACGAGATGCACTTTGTCGGCACTTCCGTGATATCTGAAACACACGATGGAAGAAAACTAGTGCTCTGGGCTGTGGAGCTTGCCAATCAGAGGGACTGGGTTCGAACCCAGCTCTATCTGTTCAGCCCAACAAGGACTGATGAAAATATGAGACATGGCAAAAAGTCTTCCGATAGTTGCACCAACTACTTAAAGGACCATGACAAAAAAAATCCACGTTCAATAAAGCATCGGACAAAAGGTCCCCCCCCCCAACTCTCCCGACATACGGGCACCAGCCGATCTAACCCAGCAGGCCAACCAACAAACAAGCTTTCAAGCCCTTCCCTCTTAGCTGCATTCATATTGGGCAGACCTAAAACAAGGAACTTATGGTTTAGTACCCGTGTGTTTGTTGTTAGTTTTCAGTGAAAGACTAACGCAGACAAGCAAAGGGTAGAAACATATTTACATGTATCATGTCCTGACAATGGACACACCAAGCTATTTACAGAAAATGACCTACTCTACAGCACCGGCAGAAAAAAAATGACCTACTCTACAGCACCGGCAGAAAAAAAATGACCTACTCTACAGCACCGGCAGAAAAAAATAACCTACTCTACAGCACCGGCAGAAAAAAAATGACCTACTCTACAGCACCGGCAGAAAAAAAATGACCTACTCTACAGCACCGGCAGAAAAAAATGACCTACTCTACAGCACCGGCAGAAAAAAATGACCTACTCTACTGCACCGGCAGAAAAAAATGACCTACTCTATAGCCCCGGCGGAAAAAAATGACTTACTTCACCGCCCCGCAGAAAAAAAATGACCTATCTGAGAGCAAATAATGCCAAGCCTACCTAGCTGAGATAGAAAATAATAATGTCAACAATTCCATCTGACCGAACTGTTGCGCCACACATATTGTACTACTAGTCTGGCCTGCTAGAAGCTATGCTTGTAGCCCTCGACCCAAAGCCCGGGATAGATTGCACGCATCACTTCCACAAAATCAGCCTGCAAATTTCTTCATAGTTAGTCCATCACAGACTAATCAACGGGCTATTTCTGACAGAAAAAAAAGGAAAAAGAATGGACCAATCACATGGCTTCAACTTCTTGAATGGAGCCATAATCATTAAATGACGTCACGCGGCTTGCGGTGGTGTATGATAGACCCGTACAGTGGGGAATATGCTGCCACGATAGGTACGTCATGTGACTTGGTGTATGATAGACCCGTACAGTGGGGAATATGCTGCCACGATAGGTACGTCATGTGACTTGGTGTATGATAGACCCGTACAGTGGGGAATATGCTGCCACGATAGGTACGTCATGTGACTTGGTGTATGATAGACCCGTACAGTGGGGAATATGCTGCCACGACAGGTACGTCATGTGACTTGGTGTGTGATAGACCCGTACAGTGGGGAATATGCTGCCACGATAGGTACGTCATGTGACTTGGTGTATGACAGACCCGTACAGTGGGGAATATGCTGCCACGATAGGTACGTCATGTGACTTGGTGTATGATAGACCCGTACAGTGGGGAATATGCTGCCACGATAGGTACGTCATGTGACTTGGTGTATGATAGACCCGTACAGTGGGGAATATGCTGCCACGATAGGTACGTCATGTGACTTGGTGTATGATAGACCCGTACAGTGGGGAATATGCTGCCACGATAGGTACGTCATGTGACTTGGTGTATGATAGACCCGTACAGTGGGGAATATGCTGCCACGATAGGTACGTCATGTGACTTGGTGTATGATAGACCCGTACAGTGGGGAATATGCTGCCACGATAGGTACGTCATGTGACTTGGTGTATGATAGACCCGTACAGTGGGGAATATGCTGCCACGATAGGTACGTCATGTGACTTGGTGTATGATAGACCCGTACAGTGGGGAATATGCTGCCACATCGGTACGTCATGTGACTTGGTGTATGATAGACCCGTACAGTGGGGAATATGCTGCCACGACAGGTACGTCATGTGACTTGGTGTATGATAGACCCGTACAGTGGGGAATATGCTGCCACGATAGGTACGTCATGTGACTTGGTGTATGATAGACCCGTACAGTGGGGAATATGCTGCCACGATAGGTACGTCATGTGACTTGGTGTATGATAGACCCGTACAGTGGGGAATATGCTGCCACGACAGGTACGTCATGTGACTTGGTGTATGATAGACCCGTACAGTGGGGAATATGCTGCCACGACAGGTACGTCATGTGACTTGGTGTATGATAGACCCGTACAGTGGGGAATATGCTGCCACGATAGGTACGTCATGTGACTTGGTGTATGATAGACCCGTACAGTGGGGAATATGCTGCCACGATAGGTACGTCATGTGACTTGGTGTATGATAGACCCGTACAGTGGGGAATATGCTGCCACGATAGGTACGTCATGTGACTTGGTGTATGATAGACCCGTACAGTGGGGAATATGCTGCCACGACAGGTACGTCATGTGACTTGGTGTATGATAGACCCGTACAGTGGGGAATATGCTGCCACGATAGGTACGTCATGTGACTTGGTGTATGATAGACCCGTACAGTGGGGAATATGCTGCCACGATAGGTACGTCATGTGACCTAGCTGTAACGGTACTCAAGTTATCGAGTTTACAGACATACACACAGACATACGGACAATATTGCAAAATTATGTTTTACCGTATCAGTGAGGTATAAAACGTCGAGATTTGTAAAAATCTCCATTTTTTTTGCACGATTACAAGGCTTTCTCTATACTTCGTATATACGAGAAAGTAAAAAAAAGCGAAGATTTTTTTTTCTTACGGTCGGGAGGGGGAAGGGGCAGTGACCGCGGCAATTATCTAAAGCATTTCACGGTATTTCAAGTTTATAATTTAAACATTTCAATCAATTAAAGCTTAAGTTTAAAAACATTTCTAGACTCAGATCGATCGTATAACTAAATCATAGTCTACATCATTAATTTGTGTCAAAACGTAAGACGACGCAGATCTGGATATTTTATTCAAGTAAATAACCACGTTAAAGTTAGATATTTTAATAACAGCGCGTGTATAATGTGCTCGCTTGGTCAAGTGTGTAGGGCTCACGGTCAGCGCGACCGCGACAAAAGAGGCAGGGGCAGTTTGTTATGTAGCTTAGAGCTGAGTCAAACTAATACACAGACGTCACGTTGATAAGCCCAATTTACCCTAACCCATATAGTCGCCAAAAGCTAGACAGCCACAAATGATATTAAAATGTTCGGTCTACAACATTTTCCATTAAAAAAAAAATGTTAATGATATAAGGCAGAAAAAAAAAATCAAATAAAAAATAAAATGTTTAATAGTTAGCAGTTTCTACTTTCTCGCTTCCGAAGTATAGAGGAAGTCTTGTAATCGTGCACAATATTTTTTTTTAAAATCGAGATTTTTACAAATCTCGACGTTTTACACCCCCCTGAGTCGGAAAAACATAGTTTTGTCCGTAAGTCTGTGTCTGTGTGTATGTATGTGTGTCTGTAAACACGATAACTTGAGTATCGTTACAGCTAGGTTGATGAAACTTCATATATGTGTGTTATATATAAAATTTGCAGTTTTGTATCAGCTTTTCATCGATTTCCGATAACCGTAATTTATTCTACTTTCAATTTTCAAAAGCCTATAACTTTAGCACTGTTTGAAATTTCACAAGGAAGTAAAAGATCTAATTCTCTGCCTTCTATCAAATTTTAAGTAAGTTCCGTTGACCGGAAGTAGTAATTTACGCGATTTCTAAAAAAACGCATGTGAATTTATAAAGTACTAATAATATTCCGCACTATTATACACATATTGTATGGCGCTCACTTGGTGCGCAATTCTTTTTTATTCCTAAAAGATTCTATTCTATTTTAAAAAGTTTGTAATTAAAAATCTTGTCTATATCCCGAGTTGCCATCCCCCGTAGAGTTATATAAGAATATTCGAGAAAGTTTATGGGGGAGATCACTCCCGGTTTATTTTTGGTGCTGACAGAAGCATTTAAAGAAAGCAAGCGAATATCATATAACATATGGCATAATTTATATTTAGTCGTTTAAAATATGCTTATTTTTTCAACACTTTATACGCTCACCTTTTAATATTATTATTTAGGACTGGCAATAGGTGTTACCGAATATATCAAATCCTATATACATTAGCAATTAATAATATAGCTAGGTAAACATTACATGATAATGTACTAGTAATTTTGCCAATGTTCTGACAGGTCTACTAAATTTTTGTGAAAATAGACACATGTGGACGGGGGAGGTCTAAAATTCCAAATTTTTGTGGACGTCATAAATGGATGACCCCTTACCTTGTAACGTGTCGTCTTGATCTTTTGTTTCAATCTGTAAAATGAAACAATATGATATTATAAGATAAGAAGAAGGCCGAATGCTCACAAACTGTTGTCGGATGTGCTCTAAGGTGACTCATTAACCTCGAGGACTTACATCTTTCATTTCATCCTCCACGCTCTGACCTTCTGCTATGATATAATCCTCAGCTCTGAAAGAAAAATGAAGTTTTAATTAACGTTGTTTGAGCCAGGCAGGTCTCAGCTAAACTAAGGCAGGGAGGGTGTCACATGGAAAGATTATGTGTAAAACAGGGGCCACACAACTCCATCTGAACTAGACAGGGGCCACACAACTCCATCTGGACTAGACAGGGGCCACACAACTCCATCTGGACTAGACAGGGGCCACACAACTCCATCTGGACTAGACAGGGGCCACACAACTCCATCTGGACTAGACAGGGGCCACACAACTCCATCTGGACTAGACAGGGGCCACACAACTCCATCTGGACTAGACAGGGGCCACACAACTCCATCTGGACTAGACAGGGGCCACACAACTCCATCTGGACTAGACAGGGGCCACACAACTCCATCTGGACTAGACAGGGGCCACACAACTCCATCTAGAATAGACAGGGGCCACACAACTCCATCTGGACTAGACAGGGGCCACACAACTCCATCTGGACTAGACAGGGGCCACACACTTCCATCTGGACTAGACAGGGGCCACACAACTCCATCTGGACTAGACAGGGGCCACACAACTCCATCTGGACTAGACAGGGGCCACACAACTCCATCTGGACTAGACACGGGGGCCACACAACTCCATCTGGACTAGACAGGGGCCACACAACTCCATCTGGACTAGACAGGGGCCACACAACTCCATCTGGACTAGACAGGGGCCACACAACTCCATCTGGACTAGACAGGGGCCACACAACTCCATCTGGACTAGACAGGGGCCACATAACTCCATCTGGACTAGACACGGGGGCCACACAACTCCATCTGGACTAGACAGGGGCCACACAACTCCATCTGGACTAGACAGGGGCCACACAACTCCATCTGGACTAGACTAAGACCAAGAGTGAGAGTAAGCACTATGCAAGCGCTGCCTTACCTGATGACCTCTCCGTACTCATCAACTTTGACTTTCTCCTCAACAAAAGGAAACATAGGGTACGACTTTTTGGCTTGCTTAAAGAAACCTGTCCTGGCTTTTCCCTGAAATGAACACAAAATAATAGCATTAGACCTTGGTGGCACAGTGTTGACGGCAATAGACCTTGGTGGTACAGTGTTGACGGCAATAGACCTTGGTGGTACAGTGTTGACGGCAATAGACCTTGGTGGCAGTGTTGACGGCAATAGACCTCGGTGGTATAGTGTTGACGGCAATAGACCTTGGTGGCACAGTGTTGACGGCAATAGACCTCGGTGGTACAGTGTTGACGGCAATAGACCTTGGTGGTACAGTGTTGACGGTAATAGACCTTGGTGGTACAGTGTTGACGACAATAGACCTCGGTGGTACAGTGATGAAGGAAGGACAATGGAAACCATATTGTAATCATTGTTGTTGTTGTCACGTAATATTAAATGTCGTAGTCTTAGTAATTAGTTGAAGTATTGAGTAAAATATAAAGTTGCTTTTAAAAAAGAAAATGACAAAAAAAAATTTGCTCAGTTGTTGGTAGTTTGCAGATTTTTAGGCTGAAGTGAGAATTAATAATGAACTTGATCGTTAAAACGCCACTGTTTGAGTGATGTCAGGTATTTAAAGTGGGGGTTGATACTGGAGATCGATTAACTGCAACTGTGGGGAGTTGTGAGCCTGGGGTTAGCCACAACATTTTGACAATCTTCAAGTTATGTGTGTAGGTGGGAGGGCGCGGTGTTCAGAGAATCTAAGGACCCTGCTGTAGTGTCTAGAGACCCACATCCTGCTGTAGTGTGTCTAGAGACCCACATCCTGCTGTAGTGTGTCTAGAGACCCACATCCTGCTGTAGTGTGTCTAGAGACCCACATCCTGCTGTAGTGTGTCTAGAGACCCACATCCTGCTGTAGTGTGTCTAGAGACGCACATCCTGCTGTAGTGTGTCTAGAGACCCACATCCTGCTGTAGTGTGTCTAGAGACCCACATCCTGCTGTAGTGTGTCTAGAGACCCACATCCTGCTGTAGTGTGTCTAGAGACCCACATCCTGCTGTAGTGTGTCTAGAGACCCACATCCTGCTGTAGTGTGTCTAGAGACCCACATCCTGCTGTAGTGTGTCTAGAGACCCACATCCTGCTGTAGTGTGTCTAGAGACCCACATCCTGCTGTAGTGTGTCTAGAGACCCACACCCTGCTGTAGTGTGTCTAGAGACCCACATCCTGCTGTAGTGTGTCTAGAGACCCACATCCTGCTGTAGTGTGTCTAGAGACCCACATCCTGCTGTAGTGTGTCTAGAGACCCACATCCTGCTGTAGTGTGTCTAGAGACCCACATCTTGTTGTGTGATTGTGTGTCCAGAGACCCACTCTCTGTTTCTCAACACACACTCGCCCTGAAGTTCCAGACGGCGCCACCCCGGCTTGATCCCACCGATCCGTAATGTTGTCATTTAAAAGTCATTTGTACGTGTCCACTTGTTGACCAAAATATGGGCTTCAGTGATTGAAAACATTTTCAAATATTGATTTCCGATCCTCCTCGGTGATACATTACAAATTAGCTGCACGAGTTTAGTCGGTTATCAGAGAAGGCTACTACATGACTGGATCTGTCTACTACATGACTGGATCTGTCTACTACATGACTGGATCTGTCTACTACATGACTGGATCTGTCTACTACATGACTGGATCAGTCTACTACATGACTGGATCAGTCTACTACATGACTGGATCTGTCTACTACATGACTGGATCTGTCTACTACATGACTGGATCAGTCTACTACATGACTGGATCAGTCTACTACATGACTGGATCTATCTGACATGACTGGATCAGTCTACTACATGACTGGATCTGTCTACTACATGACTGGATCAGTCTACTACATGACTGGATCTATCTGACATGACTGGATCAGTCTACTACATGACTGGATCTGTCTACTACATGACTGGATCAGTCTACTACATGACTGGATCAGTCTACTACATGACTGGATCTGTCTACTACATGACTGGATCAGTCTACTACATGACTGGATCAGTCTACTACATGACTGGATCTGTCTACTACATGACTGGATCTGTCTACTACATGACTGGATCTGTCTACTACATGACTGGATCTGTCTACTACATGACTGGATCTATCTGACATGACTGGATCTATCTGACATGACTGGATCTGTCTACTACATGACTGGATCAGTCTACTACATGACTGGATCTGTCTACTACATGACTGGATCTGTCTACTACATGACTGGATCAGTCTACTACATGACTGGATCTATCTGACATGACTGGATCTGTCTACTACATGACTGGATCTGTCTACTACATGACTGGATCAGTCTACTACATGACTGGATCAGTCTACTACATGACTGGATCTGTCTACTACATGACTGGATCTATCAGTCTACTACATGACTGGATGTCTACTACATGACTGGATCTGTCTACTACATGACTGGATCTATCTGACATGACTGGATCTATCTGACATGACTGGATCTATCTGACATGACTGGATCTATCTGACATGACTGGATCTATCAGTCTACTACATGACTGGATCTATCTGACATGACTGGATCTATCTGACATGACTGGATCAGTCTACTACATGACTGGATCTATCTGACATGACTGGATCTATCTGACATGACTGGATCTATCTGACATGACTGGATCTCTCAGTCTACTACATGACTGGATCTATCTGACATGACTGGATCTATCTGACATGACTGGATCTATCTGACATGACTGGATCTATCTGACATGACTGGATCTATCAGTCTACTACATGACTGGATCTATCTGACATGACTGGATCTATCTGACATGACTGGATCAGTCTACTACATGACTGGATCTATCTGACATGACTGGATCTATCTGACATGACTGGATCTATCTGACATGACTGGATCTATCAGTCTACTACATGACTGGATCTGTCTACTACATGACTGGATCTATCTGACATGACTGGATCTGTCTACTACATGACTGGATCTATCAGTCTACAACATGACTGGATCTATCTGTCTACTACATGACTGGATCTATCTGACATGACTGGATCTATCAGTCTACAACATGACTGGATCAGTCTACAACATGACTGGATCTATCTGACATGACTGGATCTATCTGACACGACTGGATCTATCAGTCTACTACATGACTGGATCTATCAGTCTACTACATGACTGGATCTATCAGTCTACTACATGACTGGATCTATCAGTCTACTACATGACTGGATCTATCTGACATGACTGGATCTATCTGACATGACTGGATCTATCTGACATGACTGGATCTATCGGTCTACTACATGACTGGATCTATCTGACATGACTGGATCTGTCTACTACATGACTGGATCTATCTGACATGACTGGATCTATCAGTCTACTACATGACTGGATCTATCTGACATGACTGGATCTATCTGACATGACTGGATCAGTCTACTACATGACTGGATCTATCTGACATGACTGGATCTGTCTGACATGACTGGATCTATCTGACATGACTGGATCTCTCAGTCTACTACATGACTGGATCTATCTGACATGACTGGATCTATCTGACATGACTGGATCTATCTGACATGACTGGATCTATCTGACATGACTGGATCTATCAGTCTACTACATGACTGGATCTATCTGACATGACTGGATCTATCTGACATGACTGGATCAGTCTACTACATGACTGGATCTATCTGACATGACTGGATCTATCTGACATGACTGGATCTATCTGACATGACTGGATCTATCAGTCTACTACATGACTGGATCTGTCTACTACATGACTGGATCTATCTGACATGATTGGATCTGTCTACTACATGACTGGATCTATCAGTCTACAACATGACTGGATCTATCTGTCTACTACATGACTGGATCTATCTGACATGACTGGATCTATCAGTCTACAACATGACTGGATCAGTCTACAACATGACTGGATCTATCTGACATGACTGGATCTATCTGACACGACTGGATCTATCAGTCTACTACATGACTGGATCTATCAGTCTACTACATGACTGGATCTATCAGTCTACTACATGACTGGATCTATCAGTCTACTACATGACTGGATCTATCTGACATGACTGGATCTATCTGACATGACTGGATCTATCTGACATGACTGGATCTATCGGTCTACTACATGACTGGATCTATCTGACATGACTGGATCTGTCTACTACATGACTGGATCTATCAGTCTACTACATGACTGGATCTATCTGACATGACTGGATCTGTCTACTACATGACTGGATCTATCAGTCTACAACATGACTGGATCTATCAGTCTACAACATGACTGGATCTATCTGACATGACTGGATCTATCAGTCTACTACATGACTGGATCTATCAGTCTACTACATGACTGGATCTATCAGTCTACTACATGACTGGATCTATCAGTCTACTACATGACTGGATCTATCTGACATGACTGGATCTATCTGACATGACTGGATCTATCTGACATGACTGGATCTATCAGTCTACTACATGACTGGATCTATCTGACATGACTGGATCTGTCTACTACATGACTGGATCTATCAGTCTACAACATGACTGGATCTATCAGTCTACAACATGACTGGATCTATCTGACATGACTGGATCTATCAGTCTACTACATGACTGGATCTATCAGTCTACTACATGACTGGATCTATCAGTCTACTACATGACTGGATCTATCAGTCTACTACATGACTGGATCTATCTGACATGACTGGATCTGTCTACTACATGACTGGATCTATCAGTCTACTACATGACTGGATCTATCTGACATGACTGGATCTGTCTACTACATGACTGGATCTATCAGTCTACTACATGACTGGATCTATCAGTCTACTACATGACTGGATCTATCTGACATGACTGGATCTATCTGACATGACTGGATCTATCTGACATGACTGGATCTATCTGTCTACTACATGACTGGATCTATCTGACATGACTGGATCTATCTGACATGACTGGAT